CGCTGGTTAACGCAAACATTTTAGCCTTTTGAGCGCGTCTTGACGACAGATTTAGACGTTAAGCAGCCGCGTTAAGTGTCCCCTGGGAAAACGCGGCTAAGCATTCGCCGTGTTGACAAAACGAGCCAACAACTGCGAAGTTGCCTCTGTTGTTGCTGTTGCTGTTGCTCATGTTGCTGCTGTTGTTGCTGTTGTTGCTGTTGCTGCTACTGCCATGTTGCTCAAGTGCTGTTGCTGTTGTCGATTTTGTGCAGTCGCTGCAATTTGTATAGCCATAGATGCAATCGCTGGCACAAAATTTTAACACCATTAGCTGACCAGCGGCAAGTTGTTTATTTTTTTTTTCGTTTAGTATTTTCCCATTTTTTTCGAGCATTTTAGCGGCTCGCTTGTTTGTCTCACTTTGCTGCATATTTTCGCGCCTAATTTGCGGCCAGGCACAGCCACACCCCCGTGGCAAGCGCAGCAGCCCCGCCGCCGGACGTTAAATGAGCTGGAGAAAAAAAAACGCAACTGTCCAAATCTGTGTCCGAATCCATAAGCCATAAGCCATAAGCCAAACTATAAGCCACTCGTGGGTGCATGTGCATTGGTTTTACAATCTAGATTCAAGCGTGGCGCACAGCTGCACAGTGGGGCCACGCCAGCCGGCCAACGAGACAGTCGGCAATCGATATTGGTCTGGGCAATTTTGTCATAAATAATTCTAAAAGTAGCTGCAATTTGTTTAAGCGCACTCAGCTTTATTGTTATTAATCTGGCGGTTATTTATAAGCGGCACATAAGCGCATATGCCACACGTTTCCTGATGCCGGGCGTCATTCGCAATAATTGCGATAACCGCAAAACTGGGCCAAATTACTCATGCGCCATGTGTTGCGCCGCGCGGCAAACAGATGTCTGGCACTGTGCCTCATTTCAATTGTAAAACCGACAATTGTCAGCGCACTTGGCTTTGATTGATTTGCCGGGGTCTGATATGGGCAGCAATTGCGGTTGAAGTAATTCAATCGGCCAACGCTTAGCGCCCAGCGCGTACCGCGTACCGCGTAGCCACATCAAAAGCTGTGCCCCAAACAGACGCTGTCAGCGGCCTTGCCGATGTGCCACAGCCAGTGGCACAAGTGACAAAACAGCAACAAAATGTCATAATTGATAGCGACAAGTGACAGTGGCTGAGCTGATGCTGCATGCGGCATGCAGCAGGCTGTGGCAGCCGCGGCAGACTCGCTCTCTGGCCCGGATTAAGCGCAAATTGTGTTTATGTTCAACACATAGAAATTGTGACAAGTTAATATACGAGGAGCTACAAATCCGATTATAGGCATGACTTGATTTCATTTGCATGTGGACCGGCCGCATATGCAGCAGACCCCATCAGCAATTTGTTGCACGTTTGCAGTGTGCTGTTGCTGCCTAATTGCGATTGGGCGAGACATAAAAATTAATTTTGAAATTCCATATAATGCGTGAAAAATGTCGCGAGACTTTGTGTGGCAGGCAAAGTGCAAGCCAAACAAAAGACTTAGGCAACAAACGCGCTGCTGTAGCGCGATAGTAAAGCAGGCCATTCGATTTAATTTAAATTAGTTTATAATTTATTTGATGCCCTTACACACGTACACACACACACACACACACAGGCAGAGAGGCCGAGCAGACCACACACGGCTCACAAATTATCTCGTAGGCAATTTAAAAGCGTCGCTGAAAATGTTTAATTTAACATAAAATCAACGCACGGCGACAGCCAAAAGCTCATTTACGGCAACAGAAACACATAAACAAGCACATTATTGAGAGCTAAGACAACAAGCAGGAGAAAAACAAAAAAAAAATCAACAAATATACAGAGAAATACATAGAAATCAAAAACAAAACAAAAAACCCAATAAGACCGCGATGCGATAAATTTGTACAATAAAACAAAAACTGATTTCCGTCTAATGCGATTGACACCTAAAACACCAAAAATTTCAAATTACAATAAGTATACAAAATCGTCTCTCGCGCTTGTCTCACTGATTCCTATAAAATGAGTAGGTACAAAAAGAAAAAAATCGAAATACAAGCACATAAATAATGTTATTAAAATAGACACAAGATGTGATTTGGGGCTCTCGGAGCTCGGACCACGGAACTCGGACCGCGAGCCGGGTCAGCCAGCGGCCACTTGATTAGCTCATCACTTAGGCCCCTAAAAGAGACACTTCCAGTTGACACTGATTGGTCGCTGTGGACCACAAGTTGACAACGAGTAGTCAGCGCAGTTCGCATGCTCATTTTCAAATATTTGACTCCAAAGTGTGTGTGTGTGTGTGTGTGTGTGTGCCAATACCTGCAGCAGTGGGCAGCCAAAACTGTCGAGTTGTGTCTGTTTTTAGGCAGCCCGTCATTATTTATAGAATTAAATTGTTTAAACTCAAACTCTTCTGTCTTCTGTCTTATTGCCTTGTCCACTTAAGCTTTGACCTTTTGCATACAGAAATGGCATCCAATACAATTAATTATGTTGATTACTTGTAACTAATTTTAATATATTTATACAGGTCTTATTTAAATAGAATGCAGTTCTATAGGGTTTAGTTAAAGCATAGAATTTATGAACATTTGCCAAAAATACTTCAAGCAGCTGCTTTTGTTTCCGTATTTAAAACCCGCTCTCAAAATAAAAGAACTAACGCCTTGAGCATTTACAAACAAACTGAATATAATACCTATGTTATGCATGTATTCATAGAAACTTGCGTGAGTTTTTGCAAATTTAAGGCATATTTTGATTTTACCTCTACGCCAATCTGAATTGATGTGAATCCCGAATTTATTTGTGTTTTGAAGCCATAATTTACGAAAGACTTAAAAGTTTTTATTCAAATGCGTGATAACTTTCTGATATTTACTTGCTAGGTGATGATGTCCCGACGACAAGATACCCTATAGACACTTTATTAACAGCTAAAAAATGTGTACAAGCTTTCTTTTTAAATTGTGCGAGTTATAAATAGATCAACATTTATTTAGGCTTTGAATAGACATTCACAATATACCCCACTTCCCTTTTGACCACTGAGTATAATCAGCTTCTGTGCATAATTTTCGTGTGCTTTGACATGTTTTTGAAAAATCTATAATTATTTTATGCTTCTCCTGGCAACTACTTAATTTTAACATTAAAAATAAATAATTTCTACTTTAGCTGTAAGTTCGTAAATTATTGAAACTAGCTAACATAAATAGTTTTAGATGTGTGTGAGTGTGTGTGAAGCAGCATTTCGGGAGCGGTGGTGGGGCGGATTGGTGTGCATTTAAAAGACAGAGTTCAAATCGTTTGCGCAGGCTCAATTCTCACATTTCGTCAAGAGTTGGCGGCGCTGGCGAGCTGAACAATTAGCTGGCTGATTTATCGATTTGGAGCACACCACACGGCGAATGCTGGTTGCAGCACCAACTTAAACATACAACATGGCTCAAGGCGCAGTGCTGCGCATTGCCACATGGGGCATGCAACATAGCTTGCTCTCGTCTGGCCTCAAACTGGGTGCAATGGCCGGCGTTGCAAACAATTTGATTTGATTTGATGTGCGCCTACGAATGTTGCCAGTTGCCAGTTGGCAGTTGCAGGCGCTGGCATTTGTCGCCATCGTTGTCTATGTTGTTCTTGTTGTTGTTGGCTGTCGAAACGCATAATCGTAAAATTTGCTGTGGAATGTTGCAATATTTTTGCGAGTGGAGCAATTTGCGCGTGAATTATTCCAAACGTTGCATTACAAATGATTTCTGCTGCGGCGACAACAACTTTAATTGGCCCAACGAGGAAGTCATCGGCGAGAGCTGAGATCTGGAGCCGGAGAAACTGCCACCAAGCATCTTCAAGTTCAACTCCGCTCTCAACGCTTGCCAGCTTCGGTTTTGCATGGTACGTGACGCAGACAAAAGGCGTTGGTCCAGCCGTTGACATTTCTGACCAACGACAGGCCATAAAATCATATTCCACTCTGTTTTCCATGAATGTCACACTTGAGCGGCATTACTGGTGGGTGCAGCAGCAGTTGGAGCAGCAGCTACGTCCGACTACGTCTCTATTATTGGCGTGGAGCAAATGGTGTGAAGTCATCGCGTGAAACCTTTTTTGCAGGCTTCCATTTAATTTCCATGGCCAATGGCTGGCAAATGCATAAAACGTCGACGACGTTCCCGACTGCAGCTGCAGCTGCTGCCATTGTTTAGCTGGTTAGCTCTGGTTAGCAGGCGGCAGTCGGCAGGCGGGGCAGGGAGCAGGGGCAGCCATGTAGGTAATTCCTGGAAGTTAATTTCATTAAGAGCAACTAGCGTCGCATTTATTAGCCGCACGATATATATATATATATATATATGTATATATACATATATTGCTTAGGCATTGGCTTTGTTTTCAAGGAATCTGCCGCTCTGCCAGACAACCAGCCAGCCAGCCAGCCAACTGGATGTCGCTCGTGTATTTGTGGAATTCATCATCGGCGACAGGCGGTTGGTCTACGTCTCCGTCTGGCCGCGTTAGTTGTTTGCAATTTTCATAACTTATTGCATGTGCATGGAGATCCGGTTGCCGCTAAATAAGGCAAAAATTTCCTTAAGAAAATTTACGCGCAAGTGCGATTTCCAGTTAATAAAATTACCCGCCCCAAAGATGCCACCAAACACCCCCCTCTGAACTAGGCTGCCTATGCGAAATTCTTATTAATTCTTATCGCAAAAAAGAAAACAAAGATTTCTTTGCGTGTTTCAATGTGTGCCGGCAGCGGCAACTGCAATGGCATCTGCTCAAGCAGCTGTGTGTGTGTGTGTGTGTGCGAGTGTGCGCCTGCATTTGGTCACAGCGATGCCGACAAGTGTTGTACACGCATTCCAAATACTTTTCTATCATTAGCGGCTGCGGCGGCTGCTGCCCCATGTGGTTGGTCCTCGGTTGGACACACACAAATGCATTGCATACCTTTGGCTAGTTACGACATTGACAAATCTTTATATTTAAGTTACAGCGTGTTTAGGTTTTATTTTTATTGGTACATGTAAAACATACACACAGTGCCCGACAGCATTACATGAACTGATTGTAGTTGAAACATGTTGCAGCCAAATCTGATCGGCACATACACATTTACATATATATATAGAGTACACATACATTAATCGAAACAATTTGTGGCTATTTAACAGAGAAAATATGGTAAATCAATGAGACTGAACTAAAGTTTTTTAAAGTGCTGACAAATTCAAGTAATTTTTTTTTTTCGTTTGCTATGGCACAGATGAAATCTCAATCTCTAGTAAAAGAAGCGATAGACGCCACACAGCAGCAGCACAACAATCAATATGAACAGCTTCGATGTGACCTTGTATTTGTGATCCAGGCTCTGCCACCAGCGCATTAAGGCAGCAGATGAAGAATTTTGCTCCGGGCGTAGAGAGCGACGACCGCCAGTAATGCTGCCGCCAGCCACGGTGCGTCTGTAGGAGGTGCTGCGGTCCCCAATACGTTCGGCACGCAGGCGGGCCAAATTGCGGGCAAAGTCGCTCTCGAAACGAACGCCCTGCGTGGCATCCTCTTCCTCCTCAGCGGTATCATCGCTGAATTCATTGCTGAAGGTGCGCGGTGCCGAGCGTTGAAAGCCGGAGGCACCGAGCGGAGCAGCGGTAGCAACAGCAGCAGCAGCTCTTGAGGCTCCAGTTATATAGCTTTGAGCGGGCGGACTCACGTAGCTGCTGTAACGTCCAGTTGAAACACGGTAATCAAGGCTGCTGCTGATGCTGCTGCTGCCCAGGGTAGTGCGCGGCTGGCTGGTACTGGGTGCCTGCTCATAGATCTGTCTGGGACGTTGCTGCTCCTGCGTGGGCTGCAGGTTAGGATACAGCGACTTGGGTACATAATCATGAGTATTTATTGTGGTGGCACTCAGCTTGAGCTGCTGGGCGGCCTGTTTGTTGTGTGTGTACTGATCCTCAGCATTGCGAGCAGCCTGGGCCAGCTGCTCGTCCTCCTCCTCATCCGACTCCAGTATTATCAATGAATTGACCATCAATGTGTTCTCATTGTTACGCTTCTTCGGCACTGTTGGCTCCTCTGCAATGGTTTCGGGCTTTCGAATCACCCGCTCGGGTATCTGTTCACGGCGCTCCGAGTTGGAGATGCGACGTGACTGTATGGGCGCGGCCTTGGTTGCTACAGCTTCAACTGGTTTGGCTGCTGCAACCGCCTCCGGCACAGTTTCCGGCTTGTTCACCGGCTGGCGGCGACGTTCGGCCTCTTTGGTGTCGTTGGGCGTATAGGCAATGGTGCGGCGAGTCTTGGTTGCGGCCTGGATGCCATCTAGTTTATCTACCTGTGCGACAGCAGCAGCTGGCTGCAAAGTATCGCGGCGTGTGCTGGTCTTCTTAGGGCTGGCAGTGGCTGCCGGCAAAGTGGCGTTGCCGCCAAGTGAGGCACGCAAACGTTTTACTAAAACTTTGCGACTGCTGTCTGTGACTGGTATATTCGGTAATCCCTGTGCCAGCATCTGTGCACGCAGCTCGGCGTTGGACAAGTTGTCTAAATTATCAGCGTCGGCCATTGTTTCAGTTTTCCACACGCTTTTTACCAATCGTTGAAATTGAAAGTTGTTGCGCGTCACTTTTTGCGCGGTGCGATGTTGCTTAGCGATGTGCGATAAGAACTATCGATGAATTCGACGAATTCGTAAAAAATGGATCCACTGTTTGCTTGGTTTTGCTACAAAAAGTAGAATTATTCCTTCAAATAAGTTTATTTATATTTTATAGTAATTTATAGTTTTGCGCAGCATTTATTAATTCTTTTAAAATTTGAAACAAATTTCATTACATTGACTACACAGATCTGGCAGCACACTCTGTTGTCAGTGTTGAGTAACTCTCAATGTTGTATACTTCACAGTACTTCTATTAAAATCGACATATTAAATCGCAAAAAACAAATTATATTAAAACAAATTATTTCTCGCACTTAAAAACGCACGATATAACATTGCCGCAGAAAAGGTAGGCATTATGCGCAATGGAACTGTCGAAGGCACCAAATACACGCACGCTGCAGCCCTCTCACACGTGGTTTATGGGTAAGCACAAAACACTTTTTTTCCGAATTTCTCTAATTAACTCTACCTTCAGCTTATTTCGCCTTTATCCATTTTTCTTGGGCCATAAATCTGTATATATTATAATAATTTTGTTTGGCGCAACCTACCTAAGTTGTACGTGAGAAAAACGGTGTAAGCTATAGCTTAAACTGTTAATGAAAATATCTTATTAATTGCTTCATTTAATAGGCACACATTTTTGCAGCTACTGCAGGTGCTTAGCTAATAAACAACCAGTTCAAGGTGTATTCAAGCATCCTACTCCACCGCTTATCAATTGCATAGGGCGCTCCGTGCATGGATTACCTCGAAGTCGAACGTAGGATAATATGTGCCGATATGTCGCTGCGGACTATATGGATCGGTGGACCCAGCACCATCATTTGCGACATTGCCGCTCACGTTCATAGCTTTGGACGCACATGGAACATTTTAACAAGGACGTAAATCAGCTTGGCAACAATTTGTACGTACAATTTAATAGCTATTGCCAACCATTTATATAATATATTTTATGGTATACTTTTAGGCAGCCCAATTTAAGCACTGGAACAATATGCAGCATAAAATCATTGCATACTTTTGTGGTGTGCGGAAAAGCATAGCCGTATATTTTTGTTGAATACTTTAGGGCATATTTATTAATTGTCAAGTTGAAATTAATCTCATTATCCATAAGCAGGATCTATGTGAGCTTCCATTATTATGTATAAAACTGTTCTTTGTAACGAGAAACCAATAATAAATAAAAATCGAACGGCTTTTGGCCGTTATTTGTGTAACCGCAGGTTTTTGGGACACAAAATCATTGCATACTTTTGTGCGGGATATTTCAATTGGAGGGCACACCCAAACCAAAACCTTCATAGCTCAAAAACCACAAGGACGATTTGGATGTCCTTTGCACGGTTGATAGCCTTTATCCATACAAATCGTTTGGCATAGGACTTGTCAGGATACGCAAGAACCCGACCGAGTTATACGCTATTTTTCTTAATAAATAAGTATCCTTTTTCTCAGCTGTTTGAAGGACTTTCGTCCTTTTTGTTGTATGACTTCAATTCGGAGGACAGAGACTTCCTTTTGGCCAAAAATCAGCCTGATAGTCCTCATGGTTGTCGATATATACTCATTTTTCTTAAAAGGACATTCTATTTTTTGTCATAACTCGGCCAAATCCTTAAGGACATCGGAAGGATATACCTCTCTAAACTCGTAAGGAGCAGATCTATCGATTGGCATCCAAGGATTTCCAGGATTCGACCAAAAAATTTTTCTCAATATCAGTAAGGGGGTTAGTCAGAAAATCGAAAAATTCAGGACTAACTTTGCCATTTGAAGGACTATCGGGATGTCCTTTGGCCAGTAGATAGTCCTTGTCCTACCATTTACGAATATACAACTCGAAGGACGATAGTCCTTCAAACAGCTGAGAAAAAAGGACTTTTTTGTAAACATAAAATAGGCTATAACTCGGTTATATCCTTACATATCCTGTCGAGTCCTGTGTCAAAAAAATTGTATTGACCAGGGCTACCAACTGGCCAAAGCGCATTTAGATCGTCCTTGTAGTTTCGGAGATATTAAGGATTTTGTGAAATTTAGCCATTTCCTTGCCGCCCGCGAGTGAAAATTGACCAAGTCCCGGATTCTTAGATGACCCCCCCATTTTTTGATGCAGATCGATGCGCTTGGTCCTCACGACCCTAACGCACCATGTCCCATGAATATCCGCAAGGATATGGCCGAGATATAAGCATTTTAAAATCAGTTTAATATAAAAAGCATTGCATACCCAAAAGGGGCATGCATAGCCGATTGACATGCGACATTTCTTAAATTCTGCTGAAATACCAGGCGAACAGAAATGACCAGACGGTGGACAAAATCTTCGAATGCCAAATTTCAATCGGGCTGCAAAAATGTTAGGCGCCCCTTTTAGGTATGCAATGTTTTTTTTGCCGAGCCTATATAAACTGATCTTAAAATGCTTATATCTCGGCCATATCCTTGCGGATATTCATGGGACATGGTGCGTTAGGGTCGTGAGGACCAAGCGCATCGATCTGCATCAAAAAATTGGGGGGTCATCTAAGAATCCGGGACTTGGTCAATTTTCACTCGCGGGCGGCAAGGAAATGGCTAAATTTCACAAAATCCTTAATATCTCCGAAACTACAAGGACGATCTAAATGCGCTTTGGCCAGTTGGTAGCCCTGGTCAATACAATTTTTTTGACACAGGACTCGACAGGATATGTAAGGATATAACCGAGTTATAGCCTATTTTATGTTTACAAAAAAGTCCTTTTTTCTCAGCTGTTTGAAGGACTATCGTCCTTCGAGTTGTATATTCGTAAATGGTAGGACAAGGACTATCTACTGGCCAAAGGACATCCCGATAGTCCTTCAAATGGCAAAGTTAGTCCTGAATTTTTCGATTTTCTGACTAACCCCCTTACTGATATTGAGAAAAATTTTTTGGTCGAATCCTGGAAATCCTAGGATGCCAATCGATAGATCTGCTCCTTACGAGTTTAGAGAGGTATATCCTTCCGATGTCCTTAAGGATTTGGCCGAGTTATGACAAAAAATAGAATGTCCTTTTAAGAAAAATGAGTATATATCGACAACCATGAGGACTATCAGGCTGATTTTTGGCCAAAAGGAAGTCTCTGTCCTCCGAATTGAAGTCATACAACAAAAAGGACGAAAGTCCTTCAAACAGCTGAGAAAAAGGATACTTATTTATTAAGAAAAATAGCGTATAACTCGGTCGGGTTCTTGCGTATCCCGACAAGTCCTATGCCAAACGATTTGTATGGACAAAGGCTATCAACCGTGCAAAGGACATCCAAATCGTCCTGGTGGTTTTTGAGCTATGAAGGTTTTGGTTTGCGTGTGCCCTGCAATTGAAATATCCCGCACAGAAGTATGCAATGATTTTGTGTCCCAAAAACCTGCGGTTGCACAAATAATGGCCAAAAGCCGTTCGATTTTTATTTATTGGTTTCTCGTTACAAAGAACAGTTTAATACATAATAATGGAAGCTCACATAGATCCTGCTTATGGATAATGAAATTAATTTCAATTTGACAATTAATAAATATGCCCTAAAGTATTCATCGAAAATATACGGCTATGCTTTTCCGCACACCACAAAAGTATGCAATGATTTTATGTTGCATATTGTTCCAGTGCTTAAATTGGGCTGCCTAAAAGTATACCATAAAATATAATATAGTAACGGTTGGCAATAGCTATTAAATTGTACGTGCAAATTGTTGCCAAGCTGACTTACGTCCTTGTTCCGATGTTCCATGTGCATCCAAAGCTATGAACGTGAGCGGCAATGTCGCCAATGATGGTGCTGGGTCCACCGATCCATATAGTCCGCAGCGACATATCGGCACATACTATTCTACGCTCGACTTCGAGGTAATCCATGCACGGAGCGCCCTATGCAGATGAGAGGCGGTGGAGTAGGATGCTTGAATCCTTCTTCAGCTGTTTTGAGTAGCTAAGCGGCTAAAGCAGGTGCAAATTCATTGCGATCGGGACCATCAATATGAGCACCAGTGAGCAGGGCTACTATGTGAAGCACGACTGACTGGAACAAAGAGGAGTTGAAATCCAATGTGTGCGCCTATTGAATAAATCAATTAAGAATTTATTTTCTTTACAAGTTTAAGGTTTACCTTACAGCGCTTGTCTCTGGCTATCACTCCGGTAGTATGTGTAAACTTCAATTATTGTAATATATACTGCTTTATAGGCCAAGCATAATGCAGGAAGGCGAAACCAGCTGAAGGTAGAGTTAATTAGAAAAATTGGGTAAAAAATTGTTTTTCTACTTACCCATAAATCAAGTGTGACAGGGCTGCAGGTTGCGCGAATTTGGTGCCTTCGACAGATCCATTGCGCATAATGCCGCCATTTTCTGCGAGAAATAATTTTTGCTAATCTCAGGTGGCCGCAAGGTTTACCGACATGTCTTATAGCTTTTGTAGAGCTTACCAATGATGTGCGGCCGGTGCCTGGGTGGTGTATATATTCGGCCATTCCTGTGCCAACATTTGAAAACGCAGTTCGGCATTCGACAAGTTGTTTAAATTATTAGCATCGGCCATTATTTTAATTTTCTACACGCCTTTTTGCAATCGTTGAAATGACATGCAATTACGCTTCACTTTTTTCTGCACTGCGATGTTGCTTAGAGATGCGCGATAGGCAAAAACTATCGATGTATTTGCAGAAAATCGCACACAATAAATTGCTTGACGAAGTTACGAATAGTATAACTGTCTTTAATTATTATAATTATTTTTTATTCATATATTTGGCAGGAGCTTCATGAAAGTGTTTTCTTTTAAATTTGAAAACAAATTAATTACTTTAAATGCAGATCTGGCAGCACTATTACCAATCAGTGTTGGCTAGCTCTACATTTTTGTTAGCTTACAATACTATTAAAATTGACATGTAAACGCATAATAAACGTAAATAAAACGCTTCAAATCTCGCAGATAACATAGCTGACGCCTTCTACGCTTGCAGTACACACATTCCACAAAAAAAAACATTACCTATCCACAATGGACTTATCGAAGGCACCAAATCCACGCAAGCTGCAGCTCTGTCGCACCTACTTTTTGAGTAAGTGAAAAGACAATTGTCTTTAGTCTCTCTCACTAACTTAGTCAACTTCTAGCTGGATTCGCTTTTCTGCCATTTGTTTGGGCCATAAATGTTTGTTGGTTCTTTGCGGAAGCTTTTCGCAAACCGACATATCCCGAGCAGAGTCAAATAAAACGCTGTAAGTTATTGATTGACATTCTTGTAGGAATAACAAATGAATTTCCTTTTATATGCAGATGTGATTTACTCAGCAATAGGCACACTCTTTTGGACAATCGCCTTGATCACCTGGATTGTCATATTCCAAACGAATCGGGCTGCTTGGGGCGCGACTGCAGACTATATTAGCTTTATAATACCACTGGGCAGTGCATAATTGTATATAAATATATATGTACTATATATTAATATTAAAAGGATATAATTTAACGATTGATATTAATTTAATACACATACTAATAAAATTATCATTTGTATAACATTTAAATTATTGGCGCTTACCTTAGAATCCTTGTGGGCCAATCTGCTGATGAATCCCTCCTCTTGGATCTGGATTGAAGTTTTGTTGAAGTACGCATATTCCAAGTCAATTCAAACGATGTCACTTTTCAAATACATTTTTTATTCACATCTAAAGCTTATTTTGTTTGTTGTATTATATATATATATGTATATATATATCTATATATGTGTACTATATTTTTTTGAAATTTCTTATACACTAATTATGTATTTATTTTCATAATTTGTAATAATTTGTTTTGAATGCCATTTATTCATTTGTTGCTGTGTCTCGCTTCCGCTTTCGCTTCGTCCTCGGCATCCGGTTTCCGGCTGTCTTGATAACATACAATTTCATTGTTTAGAATGTCATAAAGTTTGCTCTTGTTTTGTTGATATTTAAAAATACATAAATATTTGTTAAAAAGTCCTGCGCTTGTACCATTTTATAATCAACTAAGCTGTTAATTTATGTTTATTCTAATATATTTTGTGTCGCTACACCACGATTCCACTACAAACAGTGAGTTAATTTGTTGCGATGATTGCGAAATTGGAAGTGAAAATGCAATGTGGGGTAAATCTAACATACACAACACACAAACACACACAGTTATCGTATTGTTTAAATATATATATACTGTATACTGTCTGTGAGACCCCGCCCAAACATGCATTTGTTGCTTAAGTGTTTAAAACATGCCGCACACATGTCACCTATCTATCAATCAATCAATCAATCTATCAATCAATCAATCACGTAATCGAAACTAATTTACAATATATAAAAGACTCGATTTATAAGGTATATTTACATGCAATACTTTGTTTTATTGATAAATTCTAAAGAATTGTGTACTCTTCTTCTTGTTGTTTTTTTGTTTAATTTTTTTAATTTTTTTTGTCGGGGCTTAGGCTATAAAACATTAAGTGCCATTAAATCACGCGTGTAGTCTATGATGAAGCGGCTAGTGAACTACGACACACACAGATTCACCCTCTTCTTCACATTTTACATTCATAATATAGTTAATAAATGTAAATTACATATATCATATATATTATTAGTTCCATCATATCATACACATACATTTATACATATACATATATATGCATATAAATATATACTATATATATATATATATATATTCTGATCTGATACTTGGAAACATAAATAGGTGACGGCTGCTGGGGCCAAAAATTCACACAAAAGTAAAAAAAATGTTAATTGTTTTTCTTCAAGTTGTTCGTGTTCTTTGTGTTTGTTGTTTTATGTTTTTTCCGCCCTCTCAAGAGAAACTACGGATACGAATAGTACACACATACATACATACATACATACATAAGATATAAGAATGGGCGCGCCCTTTGTCTTTTAGATGCAAATGTCGCGCTGGCTCCATTCGCAACACAGATAAGGATATTAATTAATACACACTGCTAAATGCTAAATTGTAAGTGCTACATTTGTAATTGCTAAAGTGTAAACGGTAATTGGTAATCGATAATAATCGTTAAACAATATGCATTAATATTAATTATATAATTTGTTTGTTTTTGTTTTGTTTTGTTTTGTTTTGTTTTTACAAGAAATCAACACACTACAGGTTTCGCATTTGCTTCTGCTTCTTTTTGCTTCTTTTTGTTTTGTTTTGTTAATTTGTTTTTCTTTTGTTCATGTTCGATTTACGCCTCTCTCGTATAATATAAATATAACTATAATTATATTATGTTTTTATAATATGTGTATATATATATATATATGTGTGCGTATATATATATATATATATATATATAAATATGCAAAATACACTTAGGAAAAACATCGCTAATTTGTAGTTATGCTATATTTATCATATTGTATGTACTCTAGAATATATCCATATATATATATATATTGTTTTGTTTTTTTCTTTTCTGTTTTTTATCTGGTAATAGTAGTGATAACTTAGGGCTTAAACTAAATTTTTATAGTTAACACGTTAAACGAAACATACAAAAAATACTTATGCATATAAATAGTCGATTTTTCCATTTATGTTTTTGTTTGTTGTTTTTGTTTTTGTTGTTGTTGTAGTTGGTTTTGTTGTTGTTGTTGTTTTTTGTTGTAACATTGTAAAAATATTATATATATGCTATATATGCTTAATGTGTGCTCGCCCAGGGCTAATAGCAAATGCAATTGGGTATTTATCAACCACTGCCTCTTCCAGTTACGCATCTCCTCCCTTTCGATGCCAATTCCAATTCTGATCCAACTCACGATCCCGTGGCCGTTCCCGTTCCCGTTCCCATTCCCCGCTAGTTGTTTTTCACATTGTAGGCCTTCTTCTCGTTGCTGCCATTCAGTGGTTCTCATTTTGACGGTCCCGGCGGAAATGGATTTATCACAGCTACTGCAGCCGCTTGTTGGCTGGCCAAGACGGCCGCTAAAAGCAAGCATTAATCATGAGCAACTGGCTTTAAACACCCCATCCGATTTCCACCTTCACTACTCACCTCCATAGGGCGCTGGGTACATGGGATAGCCGAGGCCTACGTGTGTGTGATGGTGTGTGTGCACATGCCGCTGCGGCGGCGGGCTGCGCGAATCGGCGGCACCGGCACCACCAGCAGCGCCATTGCCAGCACCGCCGGCCACACCTACAGCTCCATTGCCGGCCGGGCCAGCGCCAATGGGCGGTGCACCGGGCAGCGGCTGTTTATGCGCATCAAGCGCACCGCCTGGCGCCGCACCATGTGATTTTTGGCCAGCCATTTCGGGTTTATTAGGCGGCGGGCCGCCCAGGCTGCCCGGCGGTGGTTGCAGATTTAGCGGCACACCGCCTGCGCCGCCCGGCGTTGATCCCTGCTGATTGGGCCCATTGCCGCCGAGCACATTCGGTCCAGAGCCGGGCCCACTGTTGCCAGGCCCGCCACCGGGCTGCGGTGGTCCCAAGCTGGGACTGCTGACGCTCACCTTGACCGGACCGCTTGCGCTAGTTGGAGATTTGAGTGCGCGTTCGCTTAGCTCGTGGATTTTGTGCGTGGTATAATATTGGCTGGCCGCGTGATGCAGTGCGTCTAGCGCCTTGGTGCCCGTATTGCGAGACAGATCCTCAGGCGCATGATAGCGCGTTATGGGCAAATGATACGGCGGCGCATTATACGGCCCAGCAGCCGACATTAACACATTGCGGTACATTGGATGATTCGGATCGAAGCCAAACGGTGTAGGCGAAATGTACGAGGGATGCAGAAAATATTGTGAAGTGGGAGGTGGCGGCGGACCCTGCGTTTCCATCGTGGGTTTCTGGCCCTCCTGTTTGACCTTCAGCTGCTGTTGCTGCTGATCGTCGTCGGCGGAGCTGCTGGCGCCCTTTTGCTTGGGCGACTCCTTGGTCAGGTTGGTGGCTTTGTTATTGGCCGCGGCGCTGGCTGCCTGCGATTGCTTAAGCTTCTGTTGCTGCTGCTGCTGTTGTTGTTGTTGTTGTTGTTGTTGCTGCTGCTGTTGTTGTTGCTGCTGCTGCTGTTGTTGCTGCTGTTGCTGTTGATGCTGCTGTTGTTGTTGCTGTTGATGCTGCTGCTGTTGTTGTTGCATATGCTGATGATGCTGCTGCAGCGCCTGCTGCTGATGCTGTGCAAGCGAAAGCTGCTGCTGCTGTTGTTGCTGCTGCTGCTGTTGCGCGCTGAGGCTGGACTCATCCTTATGCTGGGGCGGCATGCCGGGATGTGGCTGCATGCCGGATGCACTCTGTGCCGCAGCCACGGCTGCAGCATTCTGACGCCGCTGTTGATCCGAGAACATGTAGTAGCTGCCGAATAAGGAACGGTATATAAGGATTAATACATATTCAAACAAATGAATATTCATTTGTGGCTTACCGTCGCAGCTCATCCTCGCGCGCTGCCGCCAGGCTCATGGAATGGCGTTGATAGATGCTCGGATGATAAGCGCTCAGTGCCTGCAGATCCTTTGGATGCAACGCGTGCGGCTGTTGCGGCTGCGGCGGCGGCTGCGGCGGCGGCTGCTGCTGCTGTTGTTGCTGCTGTTGCTGATGCTGCGGCGGCGGCGGCTGCTGACCCATATTGCTGTTGGGTTCCTGCTTGATCTCCTGTTTGATCAGCGGCTCCTGTTTGATCAGCTTGTTGGTCAGCAGCTGTAAAAGGAAGCTCTTTAGTAGTTGCAATTGTTAGACGTCGCTTTGCTGCACTTACCTGCTGCTGTGGCGGCATATGCTTGGGATTATCGTGCGGGCTGGGACTCTCCTTGATGCGTTCCTCTTTAATGCTGATACCGGAGAGCTGTTGCTGCTGCTGCTGCTGCTGTTGTTGTTGTTGCTGTTGTGCCTGCGCCTGTGCCTGTGCGCTGGCCTGCAGGCCGGGATGCCCGCCCAGCTTGGCCGCCTCCTCGGAGGCCACAATTGAAACGGGTCCGAAATTGGGATCCACGCTGTATGGATAGCCCGGCGGCATGAAGCTGAAAAACAAAAATGAATTTAATTAATTATAAATTCTTCAGCAGAACTCTAAGGTTCAGCTCACTTGTAGGGATAAAAGTGACCCAGGGTCTTGGCGGGCGTTAGTCCGCCCAGACCGGCCATGCCTGGCGGCAGAGCGCCCGGCGGCGGTCCAGTCACAGCGCTGAGATTGACCGGCGGCGGCTGCACCTGAGTCGGCTGCGATGTGGGCGGACCCGTATCCTTGCCATTGTTCTCGGGCTGCTGCTGTTGCTGCAACTGCTGCTGGACGCTCGCCTGCGACGGCGGCTTTGTCATCAGATCCAGTGGTGGTTCCTTGTTCTTGTTGCTGTAATCGGCCAGATGGGCAACGGCCTGCTGTGTGGGCGGCGCCAACAGATGCGACTGTGGCGTCTGTGAGGTAGCTGGCGGTGCGCCCGGCTGCTGCAGCGATGGTTTGCCTGGCTGCAGTGCATCCGGCCCGGGTTGCACCATGTACTGCGGCTGCGGTTGCTGTGGCAGCGGCGGCGGCTGTTGTTGTTGTTGTTGCTGCTGCTGCTGCTGTTGTTGTTGCTGTTGTTGTTGTTGCTGCTGCTGTTGTTGTTGCTGTGCCGCTGGATAGAACTGGTACATGCCATAACCGGCTAGGGAGGGTGGTATATTGGGCGTGGGCGCTGCCGGCACGCCCACCTCGCTGGGCTTCTTGGCCAGCAGCTCAATGTGCTTGCCCGGCTGCGACTTGTCCAGCAGCTCCTGTTCCGCAACGGGCGTGGAGTCATCCGATATATCACTGTACGCTGGACTCTGCACATCCTCGCGCGAAACACCGCCATCGAAATCGCCCGGACCGGGTGACTTGCGGTTCTTCTTCTGTTTGCTACCGGCGCCCACTGAGGCGGGACCAAAGCCGGGCGTGCTCTTTAAGCCTGGCGGCGGTTGCTGTTGTCCCACATAACCGGCGGGTGGCTGTTGTGCATCCTGTGCCAGGCTGGGCGGACGCAGTGGACTTTGTCCAGGCGGCGACTGTTGTGTGTTTACACCAGGTGGCTGCTGCTGTTGTTGCTGCTGCTGCTGCAGGGCCGCCGCATCGGGTGGGCCAAAGCGTAATACACCCGCTTTTACTGAAAAATCAAAAGGAAGAGATGCTGGTCAGAGGAAGCAGACGCCAAGAGAATGCTTATTTCTACTTACATGCACCCTGCTGTAGCAGTGCCTGTTGCTGCTGCTCGGACAGCATGGCCGGCAATCCGGCGCCGACAAGTCCGCCCAGCAGCTGTTGCTGGTGCTGTGACAGCGCCTGGGTAGAGATGCCGGCAGTGATGCTGCCGCCAGCAATTGGCTGATTGCCGGGCATGTTGCCTGGCGCCAGTAGCGCCTGTGGCTGCGCCTGACTGGCCGTTACGGGCGCTGCTTGTTGCGCTGCTGCCGCCGCAACCACCAGAGGCAGCACGGCTAAGGGTGCTGCAGCAACAGCGGCCGCCACATCTGTGGCCGCCACTGGTGTGCCGGCAGCCGAATTCATTGCACTGCTGTTGGCTGCTGCACTGCCGGAATCTGACCCAATAGCAGGCGTTGCCTTGGCGGCTGGGCCTGATGTGGTGCCATTGGCCAAGACTGCGCAGCTGGCTGCGGGCGACACGGCTGTAGTTGCTGGTGGTGCTGCTGCTGCGGTTGCTGTGGCTGCTGCTGCTGTTGCCGCTGCACTAGCTGCAACAGTTGCTGCTGCTGTTGCTGGCAACGGGGATGGCGGAGTTGCTGGCTCCTCGGGCGCCTGCATGGAATCCTCGTCCATGGAGCTAACGCCGCCGCCGCCGCTGCTGCTGGCGCCGTGCGCGTGCGACTGATGATACCGCAGCCCGTTGGCGTGCTTGTACTTCTTGCTGCAGTCCTGCTCGGGGCACTCGAGCAGCACCGGTGAGATCGCGCAGGGCGAGGCAGTCTTACATTTCTTTGTGTTGATTTGCACATTAAGTCCGGTCACTGGGTTGAGCAGGCTCTGCGGCTGGGTGGCCAGGCCACCGCCGCTGGCCGAGATGGGTATGCCGCTGGCATTCACCATGCTCACCATGCCCCCAGCGCCATCGGCGGCATCGCCGTTCAGTGGCGAGGGCGCCTCATCTTTCGACTTGCGCTTTTCCGGCCGCGGCGGCAAAAATGCTGTGGGTGAAGTGCTGGGCGTGGCACCACCATTGCCACCACCACCACCTCCGCCGCTGCCGCCATTGCCCGACGAGCTGCTGCTGCTGTTTGTTGCATTCCCGGAAGCGCTACGCGTCGCGCCGCGTCCCTTGGTGGCGCCATTGCGCAGCTTCGAGTGCACCTGGGCATGCGAGAAGTAGATCTGCTCCGGACAGAGAGAAGGGAGCATTTATTTTACTGAGTTTTTAGTTACGCATTTATAAGTCGACTCACCGAGCTTCTGGTTTCGGTAAAGTTGCTCAGATCGGGCGTTAAGCCAGCGCTGCGTCCGCGCTTGCCGCGTCCCTTTGGAGTTCGAGAATCTAATTCTTCAGTTGGTGAATCACAGAATCTACAACGAGGAAAACAAATGCGAAATGTGTTACAGTAAAGCTTGCTTAGGAAAGACTTAGGGTGATTAAATAAATGTAAGGCTTGCTCAAGAAGAAATCGGAATTGACAATAAAAAAAAAAGCCGAAAAATTACAAATTTGATTATCGTAAGATAGGTAGAAAATGAGAAAAAATATTTGGATTTTAAAATTAAATTCTTTTCACTTTAATTAGAAACTATTACGACCCAAAATAACCTATGAAATGTAATTGAAAACTGACGGAAACGGAAACAAAAATTTCGAGAAATAAGTTTTAGAAAGGCATCTTTATTTTCGTTAACAATATGCAGAAGGCAAACGAAGCTCGAGCATGTGGATAAGGGCAGGGGGCTGGGCAGCTACTCACCTTGGAGGAGCCCAATCGTGTCGGGTGCAATCGAGCAGAGTGCCCACATAGGTCTTGCCGCGCCACGTAACATTCACAACGAGTACACCGCCCTCGGTCTCGTGCCAAACGATGCCCTCGAGGGTGACCGAGGTGCCCGGCTCGCAGGGTCCGAGGCAATCCGGCTCGGTGATGGTGCCAACGGATGTGCCAATGCATATATCGACCATATCTTTGCTGTTATCGCTATGCTTGGCACGTTTAGCTGGCGGGGATTTGCTCTCCTCATCGCCGGCGCCACCGGTGCCAGCGCTGCCCGCAGGCACCGAAATTGTGTGGTGCATGGTGGCTGAGATCATGCCCGGAGCCATCAGTTTGGCCTGTGCCAGGCTGGCCGCCTTGCTATCTGCATTGCTGCCCGCCGCACCAGCTGCCGTTGCGCCGCCCGCTGCAGCTGCTCCACTCTGGCTGCCCGCGTAGCTGCTGCTGTTGTTGCTGTTGCTGTTGGGGTTGCTGCTGTTGCTGCCGCTCGAGGCAGCCGCTGCGGCCAGCTGTGCGGCAATGTGTGAGGAGATTTTAATGCTGGCATCCTTGCCCGGCGGCCCAGGCGCATTGGCGGCACCTGCATTTATACTGCTGCCGCCGCCAGCATTACCTGCTGCTGCTTGCGAGGCACTGGTTGCCGCCGTCGTTGCAGCCAGCAGCGAGGCAGCCGCCGAGACAACAGCTGCCGGGGAGCCAGCCGAGGGCGTGAATACGCCCGGCGGCACAGCCGTTGCGCTCGAGCTGTTGCTGCCGCTGCTGTTGCTCATGCGTCGTATGCAGGCGTGATGCGAGCAGGGTGGCGCCGAGCCGGCGGCAGCAACATCGCCGTTGCACTGACAATTGCTGCTGCTGTTGCTACTGTTGTTGCTGCTGTTGTTGTTGTTGTTGCTGTTGTTATTGTTGTTGCTGGCGTTCTTCTCGGGCGTGTCCTTTTCGCCAGCTGCCGATGCAGCTGATTTGTCCACGCTGAGGCGATTGGAATGTGCGTTCTTGTCCTTGGTCTTCTCACGCCTGTGCCCAGAGCTGCCACGCTTGTTGCCCTGCGGCGTTGACTGTGCATTATTGTTGCTGCTGCTGCCGCTGTTGCTGCCGTGTGTATTATTTGGATTGGCGCCGCTGCCGCCGCTGTTGCTGCTGCTGTTGTTGTTGCCGCCGCTGCTGGAATTGTTGAGATGCTTTTTGCTGCTGCTGCTGCTGCTGCCGCTAGAGCCGGAAGAGTTGCCGCTGCCCGAGTTGTTGCTGCCGCTCGAGTTGTTGCTTAAGGAAGACGCATTCGCATTGCCGCTGCCGCTGCTGTTGCTCATGCCGCCGCCGCCGCCGCCGCTGCTGCTGCTGGTGCTACTGCTGCCGCCGTCCTCCTGCTGGCTGTTGCTGTTGTTGGAGCTGCTGTTGCCCAATGCACCGTTCTGCTGTTGCTGCTGTTGATCTGTGGCCTTGACTATTTCATGTTTGGCCTCGGAGCTCTTTGTGCCGGGCTTGGTGCGTTTGATCTTCATTTTGAGTCCTTTATCGAGCGTTGCCTGATGATCAATGGACATTTTTGCGCTCGATTTACCGCTGCCGCTTTGCGAACTTTGCCCACCAACTGTGGCTCCACCAATTGTGTTGCTGTTTATGCTGCTGCTGTTATTATTGCTGCTGCTGCTGCCGCTGCTGCTACTGTTGTTGTTGCTGCTGTTGTTGTTGCTAGTGTTGCTGCCGCTGCCGCTGCCTGTTTGTGAGGACATGCCGCCAGCGGAGAGTTTGGCTTGTTGTTGACCACTGCCGCCGCTGCTGCTGCTGCTGCTGCCTGTTGTGGAGGAAGACTGGCTGACGCAGGAGGAGACCAAGTTGCCGCCTTTGGAGAAGCCGGCAAATGTCGAGGATGACAATGTGCTGCCGGTTGTGCCTGCGTTGGCTGCGCTGTTGCTGCTGCTGCTGGTGCTGCTGCTACCGCCGCTGCTGCTGCTGTTTTTATTCTGCTGTTGACTGTTGTTGTTGTTGTTGTTGTGATTGAGACCAGGGCTATTCAATTGTGCGACTAATGCAGATTTGTAGCCCTTACCAGTTGTGCTATGATGATGATGATGATGGTGGTGATGGTGATGATGATGCTTGCCCGCGGACGATGAGGACGAACCTTTACTGTTGGACAACACAGCTGCGCTGCTGTTGTTGCTGCTGCTGCCAGTTGCTGTTGCCGCTGCTGGCGTTGCGTTGGCGCTGCCGCTGGCAATGGGCTGGCGTGTGAACTTAATTGTGGTTGGCGATGTGGCCGACAAATTGCTATGCAATGTGGTCTTGTGCGATTTGTGAGCAACTCCTGCTCCTGCTGCTGCTGCTGTCGATGATGATGATGATGATGATGTTGCTGCTGCTGTGCTGTTTGCTTGTTTAGCATTTAGCGTTGTCGTCGTCGTCGTTGTTGTTGCTGCTGCTGTTGTTGGTGTTGGAGTTGGTGTTGCTGTCGTTTGGTTGCCACCACCCGAATGCGCCGCCGACTTTTCAATGTCAGCGTCTAGATCGTCCAGCAGCTCTGGTATGCCGCCAATATTCCACTCGTCCTCGTACTCAAAGTTAGTATCCTTCGATTCACTTGAATTAGATGAGCTGCTGCTGCTCGCCGACGCCGTTGAGTTGTTTGTTGTCGTTGTATTTGCGGCGTTTGTTTTGCTAGCGCCAATCAATTCTGCATGGGAAAAGCCAAAATGGAATGCGAGAGATTAGAAACGGAAATTGATTGGAAGAAAATAAAAAAGAAGTAAATCAGCTTGTGGACAATTGCCAAGTGCTTGTGTGCTCAGTTAGCTAATGTGCTTAAGAGCATGCTCTCTGCAGTTTTCTCTCTTTAAGCCTGGAAGGAACGCGTTTCAAGCTGCAGAGAGCGCAGCGCGTGCTGAGGCTGGCTGCTCACGCTTCAATATATTAAAAATCTAAATAAAAACGCTTGCATTAAGCATGCACAACAAAAAAAAGAAAACCAAAAAAAAATCGGCTCCTCTCTGACAGGAGGGCTGCCGAAATCCTCAATTTCAATCAAAAGCTCTTGCACCGATCGTCAATTTTGTTCTATTTTTTGTGCCTGCCTGCACACAATTGATTTCCAGTTGCATTTTGCACTAGGTATGTACACACACACACACACACGCATGCACATGGCACATGCATATATGTATGTATATATGTACATATGCATGTACATACACAAATACTTATGTAATTGTGTGCTCTACTTACTCGTATGCTTCTTAATCGCACTGTTGCCTTGCAAATTATTCGTTGCTGTTGTTGCCTTCACTTTGTTATTGAAATTCAATGCTTGGTTTGTGGCTACCGTTGTCGTTGCTGCTGCTCCTGTTGTTGTTACTGTAGCCGCTGTTCCTGCTGCTGCTGCTGCTGCTGCTACTGTTGTTGCGTTTGCCGCACTTAAATTAGCTAACAATTTATTCTTAATATTGCTTTCCGTTGCTACGTTGCTGCTATTCAGGGCCACCTGCAAGAGCAAAGAACACCAAAAACATATACATATATGTAATGCAGCTGTGTGTGAGCGCGACAAAGCAGAGTTTTAAATCTCAGAAAATTACACGAAATACACCGAAAAAAAAAAAAAGAAAAAAACAAATTGTGTGTGTGGAGGAGGGGGAATACTTCTTGCTGTTTGCCTATGCCGTTGCCTGTTTCGTCGTTACCTTTTTAAGCGATTTTTCCATTCCATATCAAGCGGATATATTTGAAAAATTCCAATTGCAAACGATTTATTGTACATTTAAATTGAACAAAATAAAAATAATAATAATAAAGAAAAACGCCGAAAATGTTTTGCGCGAGCGTTCTTCAGCGTCCTTTTTCGTTTGGCAGCGCGGCGACGCAGATGAGACTGAACACAAAAAAAAAAAAAAAGAGCTCAAAGAGCAACCACCGAAAACAGCACGCACGCAAGCACACAGACACAAACACACGCAAGAAGAACGCACACACTAACACAGGCACGTACAGAGCGGGAGAGTAAATGAGAGCGAGCGGGCGAGAGCGGCTAGCGCATAAACAAAAACGCCACTTTAATGCGAGTGTTGGTAAACGGCATACACAATGTGTAGTTCCTATGCTGCTGCTTCTGTTTTTGTTGTTGTTCTTGTTGTTGCCGTATAATTTACCCCTGTCTCATTCCATGCTCGTTCAATAATAAAGAAAGACAGCTTTAAGTAATTGTGATTATATTTTGTTCAAACCAATAAATCAAACATCACAAAATTTAAGCTACCGCTGCGACCACAAAGCAAAGCAGCTTGCTCAACTCACACACACACGCACACACACACACAAAATTATAAATAGTAGTTGTGTTCTTTTCTTTTTGCTCTACCTTATCGGCATACTTTTTGCTTTATCTGCGTACTGTAAAGTCTAGTGGCCACTTGAGAACCGCCCCACTCGAGGGCTAGGCCAAGCGGAGCAGATGACAATAAAATAATTACGGCTCTTATCGCATTTAGTGTAAGGGTTACTTGGACGGGTGGTGGGGAAGTTGTCTGGGGTGCTACATGCCACTTACCTTATTCGGGTGGTGGCTAGTGTTTGCCTCGTTACGTCTCATTGACTCCATGCAGACGCAAACGATCGGGCGGCCGCACTGTGCGGGCCCAAAGTACTACCAATAGTGCCTAGGAACGTACTTTTCAATGTGCTGCAGCCAGTGTTGCTGATCTTCTGCTTGTTGCTGTTATCGTTGTTCTTGTTGTTGTTGCGAGCTTGACACTGCTGTCGCACTGTCGCGTTTTCCAGGCAACGACACAGGGTGGAGACGCAGGGCCTCGGCCCTCGGGCCAAACTGTTCATTTTCAAAACTGCAAAGACAGAAGAGCGAGAGAGAGAGAGAGAGAGAAAGAGAGAGTGAGTAGCAGCAAAACACAATCAATATGCCATCAAGTTTTAAAGCTATAAATAAAACATGCAAAATAACAAACAAAAAAAAAAGGAGAGGAGAAGAGAAGAGAAGACAAGAAAAAATACATAAATAACAATTTTGTTGCCTTTCAAGTGTGGCGGCCTTTCCGAGTTTCGCGATTAGCGCTGCCCGCCCTCTTATCGCGCACTCTCTCTCTCTCTCTCACACACTCTCTCTCTCTCTCTGCCCCTCTGTCTGAATTTGTAGCTGTGATTTGCTATAGGGGCTGCACTTGGCAGACACCTTAACGACTTGGCAATTAAAACACTTTTCGCAATTTACTGATAACCCACTCAAGTGCTTGAAATATGATTTGGGTTAACATGTTGCCGTTGCCCGAGCACACGGTAGCCGATTCCTGATAAGATAGGGCCCAACCAGAACTCGTATCGCTCAACCAAAAACTATTTGTCACACAACGAAATAGGCTCACGTTTTTGAAAGACGCACATTATGCTCTAGCATAAAACAGTTAAGAAGAGCATTAAGCATAAAGCCACACATTGATCGAAAATTATTACTGTAACTATTTCAATATGCTTGGCATAGTGTGCTCTTGTGGGTGTGACGTCATCGGTGACAGGCGGCGCCCGTAATTAAGTCGTTGTGTGCTGTCGACTTGTCACTTAAAACTGCTCACTCTCTTAGTGGCTGCTTATTGAGACGTACTTAAATATTCACAGCCATAGTATATGCATATATGTATATAGGTATATAGATGTGTGTGTGTGTGTGTCTGTGTACACTTTTACAAGTTGTCAGCGGCTAATCGGTTTTTAGTTCCCTCTTTGCGCGTCCACATAAGCCGCTTTGTCAGACACTAAAAGCAGCCACCGCACGTGGATTATCACTGGGTGTATGTGTGTGTGTGTATGTGTGTATGTGTGCGCGTAAGCCTGTGCATGTGTGTGCATGAAAGCTCTTTGTGCTTTACTATCTATGACAGTTTCACAAATTGGGTCGCAACTTCCAACACTTTATGATCGTCATAACTCCCACGCTGTCTTCCATTGAATGGAATACGAGCACACATACACATACACATACACACACACGCATCGCATTAATGTATGAACGAGTTGGAAAGTCTGCGGATTATTTTGTCGTTTTGTGTGTGTGTGTTTTTTTTCTGTAAGCTGAGTCAAAAAACGAGGCAAGCAATTAAATTTGCATGTGGTTAGCATTTTTTTATACAATAATTAAGTAAAGCAAACAGAAACATATACATATGTAGACGTGTGTGTGTGTGTGAATGAAGTTTTATTTTTTAATGTGGGCTGCTATTTTGTTTGCCGTTTATATGAAGTTGTTGTTGTTGCTTTTGTGTGTGTGTGTGTGTGTGTGTGTGTGCGTGTAATTCTGCCTTTTAATATGGATATTTAATTAATTGAGTTGTTGCTTTTATTGCCATTAATAAAGAGAGCCCACGCAATTCATGTGTGTGTGTGTGTGTGTGTGTGTGTGTGTGTGTGTGTGAGTCTGTCGTAATAGTTTGGATTTAACAGGCGTAAGCCTCGTGGGAACCATATGTACATATTGTAGTACATATTTTTCCCATATTTTTTCTTCTTCATAGAATATTATTTTGTATTTCTTTTGATGTTACGTTTTGTCACCTTTTTTGCGTTCTTTTGATGCGTTCTATCTTCTTGTAAATTAGCATTACATATTTATTCATATATGCATGTATTTGATTTCCATTGATATTTCTCTACACAATTTTTTTTTAATTCCACATCCCCTTTCGCCTATTTCTTTGTGTGTTTGCTTGACTTTAGACTGTTTACCTCCCCCAATGTCAGTGTTGTGTATTTTTGAAGTTTTATCTCCCTCTAGTGTTGGATTATGCATCCTTCCTTCTGTGTATACTTTTCTGTTATCTTTTTATTTCACCACACATTTGCGTTCTCCATGGTCAGTTATTGTGAATGGATTTGATTTGACTTGAAGGCCTCTTCACAAGTCCTTCAACAGCACCCATGGGAGCAGATTGCCGCGCCTATGATTAACGCCACGTGCAGCGTGGGTGGTCGCTGTGTGGCATGCGGCATGCGGCATATGGCATGCGGCATGCGACGTGCCAAAGCGCGGTAAGTGCTGTTGCAGCCATAACAAACAAACAAACAAGCCGACTGAAACACTACATAATTTAGACAAATCAATAAATTACTAATAGCCGCCGTTGAACATACCCCAGCCACGAATTCGGTTGGAGACTGTGACGCAGGCCAGGGCAGGGCGGGGCAGGCAGAGCGAGAAAGAGGTTGTAAGACGAAGAAGAAGACGATAAAGCTGCCGGAGCAGTTTCCAGTTGCCGCAACACTGACACAGACACAGACACAGACACAAAAGACAGCGCCGGTCATCGTTAAAGTCGTGTTTTAAATTGGGTTTGCGGCTCGACTTGAAAAAAACCTCGAAAAAAAAAACTTACAAAATATATACATATATAAAAAAAAATATTTTTCTTCTCCATTTTTATGGCCATTGGAACGGGGCGGGGGAAGCGTGTTTTTCTGCTTTATGGGCGACAGCAGCCGCGTCTTGTTATGGGGAGCTCTGTGCGCGCCCCAAAGCCTGTCCGCACGTACTAAACAGCAAGAAATAGCTGCTGAGACGGGCGGGAGGAGGGGGGGCAGTGTGGCACATCGCAACTAAGTTCAAGATTTACGAGCACATCGTCAGGCAGCGTCATCATCTTTGCGGTTGGCATAAGATCGATCCGCGGTTGCCGCTAAACGAACGCCTCTGGGGAGTTGCCAGTGTTGCGCTTTTATTAGCGAACCCAACCGCAAAAGCATCCAAAGGAGGCATCCAACTGGACTACCCATCTGCCCGCTTGCTTCCCCCCATTCGCCTGGCTTAAGTTCAAGTCGCGCCACAAATTGAGTTTCGTTTATAATTTCGCGGGCTGTTATTTTGTTTTGATTCGCTTCGATGCGCGATAATTTGATTTTATATTCACAATACACACACACACACACACACAAAAACGCACATAGTGGTGGGGGTGGTGTCTGGTTGCGTTGGTGGCTCAGAAACGCCTGTGGTTCGGTTCGTCGCTAGGTTCAATTAAATTAAGTGCAATCGCCTCTGCAATATGTTAGGCCCAAGTGCTGCCTGCCTGCAGCCAGCCTACAATATATTCATAAGTATAAGAACGGATGGACGCACTCGACTGCCGATCGAGCCACTTAAAGTGAGGGGAATGGGGGAAATGCCTGGTTAAGGGGTGCGGTGCAACACTGCGGCACATCATTCAATTGGTTTTATTTTTATTTTACTTTTTCTTTTGTTTTTTTTATATTTTTTTCAATATCGATCACTGAATGGTTGAAACTGAAGTGGTTCTGCGGCACCCTCAAGTGGCTGCCGCTTTGTTACCCCCGCCTGCTCAGTCGAGCGCTATTATACCTCGTCATTGTTTGGGCGGTAAGAGGGTAAATTTGGGCCAAGCAGATAGTTCGATTCGGATAGTTGGCAGAAATAATGTGCTGAACAATGCACTAATTCTGTTTATATTAGCTTCTAAAAAGCCCTAGAAGCTATTAATTTTAAAATCTGTATGCAAGCAGATAATAGTTAGATATATAGAAAATAGATAATATAGCGTACAATTCGTATATGTTATTCACAGCGCTTAACTGACGCATGACATTAAATTGCATTTCAATAACAGCTGCAAAGCTTAGTAAATACATTTCACAGTTAAGCCATATGCATATTTCTCTGGGAATAACATGCGAATGTTATAAACAGGGCATTACCTTCTGTTAATTTACAGTTTTCAAGTTTATAGCGAATTTCATAGCTGTAATGATGTGATGTTATCTTAACATAACATATATTGCTTGTTTAAATATTGTTTTTAACATTACATAACCGATCTATATAACAGACTGTTAAGCGAATGCTGTTTAACTTTAAAAATTAAGACTTTATGTAACAGAGCCGGCAGATATTTACTTGATTGGAAAGCAATTTATGGTTTCTAGTTGAAATAAATTCTTAACAAAAAGCAATAACTAGCAACATTTAAATAATTTACGATTTAACAGGGTATCACATAGCTGTATATTGTGGCATTTGCCAGCCCTTGTCTGTTGGTTGTTCTCCATGTACTCCACGCTTGGCTCCCTCGCGGTGCTGATAATTCATAAATTTATGACTATATTTTTACCCGAGCTTTGTAATTTGTCGTTGTCAGCAACATATGAATGTGAATTTATTATGAATACATTGTACTCAGTGAATACGGACTCCAGTTGCGAGTCATAGAGTTGCCTATGTAAAGAGAGCACGTTGTTGCATGTTATTCGATAGAGATTGGGAATTTATCAAGTACCGTAGATGAAAAGTCATTGCTAATAAAAACTTGTTAAAGCTACACAAAGCAGCTCGTGTTAACACGGTTAATTGGCTTGAAGCTAAGAATCTACAATGAAATATACACTACTGATGATATAACCCGATCTATATAAATCGAAAAATTTAGCTACTCGAAAAGGGACTCACATAGCCAGCGCAGATCGGAAATGACCACCAGTTCGTTTTTATTGTCCTTCTCTGTGGCATGGATTCTACTTTTGCTTGTCGCTGGCTGTGCTGGCAAGGTAAGCTGTGAATTGTTCAGGCCAGGATGCGACATTCACCTAAAATTCAAACTGAACCCGTTTGCAGCGTAATTGGGATTATGAACCAATCTCTATAGATGTCAGAACGACCGATGCATCAAAAATAAATATTGAGGCAACTGTTGAAAGCATGGGACGTGATGGATATGCTTTTACGGGCAAAGTGTTACTCAATTTCGATATGGACGAAACGACCATGGTGGGTGTTACGCAATCGAAAGGCTTCTTTATATGTATATTATATGTTATATATATAATAAATTCATCATATTCATTTACCAGGTGGAGGCTACGGCCTATCGCAGCTCTACGGGAAGCGAGGAAGATTACAAGCTCTTACCCTGGAGCATACCGAAGCAGACATTTGAAAAGTTTGCCAATTCCCATTACAAGGAAATTGTCTACAAGAATCTGGAGCACTGCTCGAATATACCCAAACCGGAGAATGTGTATCCCTGGCCAAAAGGCAACTACAGTTTCGATAGGTGCACTGCAACTGGCGATGGCATGCCCGAAATTGTGCCGGAGGGCTACTACAAGGTCATCTTTACCATCAGCGGGGAGGTCGAGGCGGGTTTTACAACCATTGTAAAGCTGGTCACGAAACCGGATATGATTGGTTAAGACCCAAAGACAACCGAAAGATGATGACATATAAAAAACCAATATTGAATAATAACCAAAAAAATGTAGTTAGTTTTAACATTATCTATTCATATCTATCCGAGTGGTTCCAGGAAAACACAAGTTATATTAAATTTAAAATAGCTCTGCAATACGAAAGTGCTTTCACATTTTTTGTGGCTGATTCTTTTCAATAATAATAGCTGGTTGCTTTTTTTTAGAAAACTAGAGTTGTATGTGAAAGGTGCATATAGTAGGTATTAGAGATTCCCCTTTTCACCTATTTCATATGATTGCAAGTGAGGTTCCAATTGCTATCACAGATTTGCACGTGTTGTAAAAATGACATCCAGCAATATTTTACAGCTTGTAAAACTATTAGGAATGACATAAATAAATAGAAAATTAAATGATTTTATTATTAAGAATTATTCTTATCATTGGATATTAACAAAAATAATAGTGGAAATGGACACGTTGATATGATTAGATCAGATTGTCGGGCCGGGCATCTGTTTATAATTTTAATTGCTGTCAAGCTTACAACCCACAAAACGAATGGGACACATGACAAAATCAGCATATAAGTATAAATAATCTGACTGCAGATTCAACCATAATCAAACCCCATCGAAAATGTATACGGGTCTGCTGCTTTCGCTCTCCGTGGCTTGGATATTGCTTCTATTGCTCGTTGATGGCAGTGCTGGCAAGGTAAGCGATGCAGAGTTTGACACAGTGAAGGATATGCCGCCAAATGCCAACTGATCCCATTTGCAGCGAAATTGGGTATACGAACCACTCTCCATAGATGTCAGATCGACGGATGCATCGAAAGTGCAGGTTGAGGCAAAGGTTGAACGCATCGGACGCAGGGATACCGCTTGTTCGGGCAAACTTGTAGTGAATTGCGATATGGACGAAACGTTTATGGTGGGTGCTCCAATGTGAAAGAGCTCTCTATATATAATGTATTGTAAATTCGATGGCTATTTATCCACCAGGTGGAGGGTACGATTTATCGCAGCTTTTCGGGCAACGAGGACGATTACAAGCTTTTGCCCTTAGGCATACCGAAGCAGACATTTAAAAGCATTGTCGAATCGTATTACAAGGACATTATCTACAAGAATCTGGAGCACTGCTCGAATATACCCAAGCCGGAGAATGCATACCCCTGGCCCAAAGGCACCTTCATTTTCGATAGGTGCACTGTAACTGGCGATGGATTGCCCGAAGTTCTGCCCGAGGGCTACTACAAGATCAACTTCGACATCAGCGGACCAGTCGAGACTGGCTTAACAGCTATTGTAAAGCTGACCTCGGAACATGACATAATTGGTTAAGCCCAGAGACAACCCAAGGGCCATGGCATAAAAAAAATAATATGCACAGTTATCGAAAGAATTAGGTTAGTTTCAACAGTATCTATCCGTATCTAGCCGAGTGGTTCCAAGAAAACACAAGTTATATTTAATATACAACAGCTCTGCAATTTGAAAGTTCTTTCAACTTTTTTGATGGTAAGAAAAAGGCAACTAGAGTTTTCTGTTAATATATAATAATTATTTATTGACTGAAACTAATCACCAGACGATCCACAGCCACGGATGAAACCCGTGCTGTTAATTTGTAAAAATGAGATAAATGGATAAAGATATGATCATATTGGATGCTAGGGACATGTTAACAAGGTTTGCGCTTGTCAACCCTAATGGCTACAACCAACAGTACGAATCGGACTCACGACATAAACAACATACTTACTATATATAAATAATCTGTCTGTTGGTAGGGTCATAGCCACAACTCATCCGAAATGCATGGGGGCTTGCCGCTGTCGTTCTCTGTGGCATGGACACTTCTATTGCTCTGCAATGGCTGTGCTGGCAAGGTGAGCATATCTAGTAAACTGACCAATTAGCTAATGCATTTATCATTTAAGAGGCAAGTGTTGAACGTATTGGACGCGGCGAATATGACATAACTAACTAACTTAAATATATTATTATGATGATATGGACGAGAGCACTATGGTGAGTTCTAGTCTGGCAGCGAGGATGACTATGTGGAACTACCCTGGATTTTACCGAAGCAGACTTTTCAATTGTTTACCAAAACCTTCTACAGTGACATTATTTATAAGAATATAAAACATTGCTTGCATCTAACACAACCCGACAACGCATATCCTTGGTCTATTTTGTGGTCACCGGAGAAGATTTGCCTAAGATTTTGCTTCTCAGTGAGTGGCAGCGTCGTCGGATTTACTTGGATAGGTCCAGGATTATATGTGAAAGGAAGCCAACAATATGAGAACTTGAAGATATTTAAATGTGTTTAAATACACCACATAAAGTATTGAATAAGTCTGCACACTGAATATGTTTTTTTTTATTGAATGAGGTTGCCGGTTCAAATTCTAGAGAGATTAACGAAGTTGTCTTTATGAGTCAACATTGATAACAATGATCAAAATATCCAATAGGTCAGCGTATACGAATCATATACTCAATTTATTTTTTTTTTTTTTTAAGGAGGTGCAGGTACAAATTCTCAAAGATACATTAAATATACGAAAAGTTAGTCCGTCTCAGTAAATTTGTAAATGTTTGTAGAGTGTATTATAAATTGTCACTACGGTCGAAAAGTGGTTTCTTGTGGGAGAAGCATTCTTGTTTTTAAAAATATCTTAATCGACCTTGGCATTAACAATATTGCTTGACAGCTTGAAACGTTTAAGCTAGGATGCTTTCAATGTAGTTACATTATTTGATGAAGACGGAAAATTCCACCCGCAAGTATGGAAATATCGCGAGAAATCTTTTTGATTGACCTTTAGTTTTCAAAGAAATTTTCAACAAACTGAACATTTAAGAGCCTCACTACAAGGCTATTAAATAATTTCTATCCTGTTTTTGTTTTAAGGAAGGACGCAGGTTCGAATTCCTTAGACTGCGGCAATAAATTATGTTTATAGTTCGTAATCTATATTATTTTCTAATACCAAACTAATAATAACTTTATATAAATGAATATATAAAATTAATTTCTAAGCGTATTGTTAATTAATTACTGAATCATCGTAATAATAATAATAATCATTATAATACGAATTATAATTATCATAATTAAGCGATTGAGTAGTTGACATGCAATGAACTAATCCGATTTGCATGTCATTTTCATGTTATTGGGGGCACATGTGGATACTCTAATAATTGCCAAATACTTTTGGATCGATCTACAACAACAAGCTATGTGCATTTGACCCAATCTGATGCAATGACCTGTGCTATATAAGGCCAGAATGATGTGTGAGTGGCAGAAGTTAACATTGAGCACATCGACAATGTATTCGCGTCGGACTTTTACAGAGATTATTGCGATAGTTTGGCTCTGTGCCAGCTGCAGCGCTAAGGTTAGTTAAGGTTTAAGGATAACAAGGATAATAATATCCTGTTCATTTCATGCAGCGCCAGTGGGATTACGAGCCATTGTCCATAAGTGGCCGTACATCGGATGCATCAAAATTGACCATTGAGACCGAAGTTGCACGCGAACGACGCGACAAATTCATAACAGCCACATTTGGAATTAACTACCAAATCGACGGGACCACAATGGTGGGTGGTATTATGGAATCGATTGCTTATAGATCGGATTAATTAGTGTATATACCTTCTTACAGGTAGAGGCCATAGCCTATCGGAGCCAATCGGGCAGCAGCAGTGACTATCAACTGATGCCCTGGTCTATACCAAAGCAACCATTTCAGGATTATATCAAGGACTATTACAAGGATGTGGTCTATGGAAATTTTGGCGCCTGCTCGAATCTGCCAAAGCCCGGCACTGAGACACCCTTTCCCAAAATGACAGTCAAGCTGGAGAAATGTGTGATCACGGGCGATGGATTGCCCGAAATTGCGCCCGAGGGCTACTACAAGATTATATTCAGCGTTACCGGCGAAGTCGAGTGGGGCTTTGAGCTTATAGCTAAGGTCATTTCGAAGAGTAATATGATGGGCTATTAATTTATGTAATATGTTTACATATTATTCATAATAAAGTACATAATATAGATATCTGAATGAATGAGCTATATTCAATGTATATTCTTTTGTATTTTAAATAAAAATAATGTCGGCATTTCTAACAAAAAAAAAATTGGTAGGTGTAGTTGACTTTTTGAAGGTAAAGCTCCTATTTAAAAAAAAAAAACACATGGTATAAAAAGCTCTGAAAAGCTCGATATGTATTTAGAGTCGGTAAAACTGAGAGTTACCGAATATACAGTGAAATACACTCTACCCGCTGTTGACATGATCAGGCGTCTATATATATATAGATAGATAAATATTTATGACATTGGGAATTCACAAGTACAATTTACCCGCCCATTCACATTTTAATGAACTACCGGTTATTAAAATGAATTCGCAATTATATGGCTGACAATTAGCCCAATCTGATGGCTGTCATGCACAAATTGCAAAGATCGTTGAGGAACAATACGCTATCTAGTATACAGAGCTTAACTGATGCCCTGACCTATCCTATATAAGGCACGAATAGTCTGGTATTTAGTTCAATGCTGAAAATGTTTAGCCATTCGTTGATGTTCTCTTCTGCGAGTATAGTCACATTTGTGCTGTTGCTGAATGGCTGTGCCAGCTATGTAAGCGGAGAGTCTGATTTATGGCGTACAAATAATTATTTGATAATTATTATATTTGCAGTGCAACTGGGATTACGGTTATGAGTCCACGTTGGTGGCATTCCGAACTACGAATCCGGCAAAACTGAATGTTGTGGCGCAATTAGAGAGCCTGGGCTGCGGCGAATATTATACAACGTATCCAGCTCAGTGCCAGGGCTATTATCTAAGGAACATATCTCGGACGATTGCAATGGGCTGTTACAGGCGCTTCTCATATCCTGGTCCCAACTACCGCAGCTGGTCAATGCAAATACCTGGCCTAAGAAGACGTTCCAGCTGGAACTATTTCTGGTCCCGCACCTTCATGTGCCCGAGAACGCGCTCGAGGTCAACAGTAAGGTTAATTCTACAGTTGCCGGCACGTTTGACTGGAGCTCTGTTCTCGTTCCTCATATAAATATATATGGTTAACTATGTATAGGCTTTTACTTTGTGAATTATTTTTAAATTATACAAATTTATATTTTATAACAACAAACAAAACTTCTTCGTTTTCTTCGTCAATGTAGTTAATAAATAGAATTTATGTATACATGACATATATGTATAATAATAAATAAATAATAGTCAGACATTGAATATGTTTTCGGATGTGTGCCCAAAACAATTTGTACTCAGAAAATGTCGTGAATTGAGTTTAAAACTTTGATCTGCAATCTACATTCCATTGTGAATAATTTAAAAGAAATTTATTAAGTTCTATTCGAAGCAAGATTTAGTTAAGTTTTCTCTCGGGAACTTAACTTGTGGACATTAATTAATTTAGGGGACAACCAAACGAATTGTAGATTATAGAAATAATCTACATGAAATTGAGATTGCAATTACATAGGACACATTCGTACAAATTTTGATCAGATAGTGGACAAATTGAAATAAATCCATGATTGAACAGACTCGTTGACATGAAATATGTGTACAATTAGCCCAATCTAATGACTGTCATGCGGACATCGAACGCTTGTTAACAAGTCCTATTAAACTAATGTCAAGATCTACATGGACTTCTGGCCCAATACAATGTTATATAAAGCTCAATTAATCTGTTCAGTAGCTCAAAGCTAACATTAAAAATGTTAAAGCGTTCCTCTGCCTCGGGAATTATCGCATTTGTGCTGTTGCTGAATGGCTGCGCCGGCAAAGTAAGTGGAAAGCTTGCTTTAAACAAAGTACAAATAGGATAATGTGTATCATAGCGGTACTGGGAGTACGAGCCGCTGTCTTTTAAGGTCCAAACGTCGGATCCAAAGAAAATGAATATTGTGGCAATAACGGAACGCGTGGGACCCGGAAAATATGCCCTAACGGCCACATTGGACTGGAACTATGATACCGATGAGACCACAATATCAAATTGTGTTCTTAACCAAATTAGTCTGATATTCTCACAGGTAGAGGCTGTGGCCTATCGCAGCTCTTCGGGCAACCCCGATGAATATATTCTACTGCCGTGGTCTATACCAAAGCAGATGTATAAAAAGTATACCGCTTCCTACTACAAAGACATATTGTTTAAAAATCTCGGCCACTGCTCGAATCTACCGCAGCCCGACAACGTTGATCCCTGGCCCAGAAACATCTACAAACTGGAGAAGTGTGTGCTGACCGGCGACGGTTTGCCCGAAATAGCGCCCCAGGGCTATTACAAGATCATATTCAGGGTGACCGGCGAGGTGGACTGGAGCCTTGAGTTGATAGCCAAGTTGACAACGACCGACAATTTCTTTGGTTAAGAGAAAACAAGTGAAGAAGTCAAGTGGAAAGTTAATTGAGATGGACAAGTTTGGTAAATAAAATAGGCCAATATTTAGATGTAAAAGCAACAGGAATAGAGCTTCTAGTTTGCGCTCATTTAGTGTCCTTTTGGATCCGCTCAAAGGATTTATTTGCGGGCGTGACGAATCGCCTGCTGTGCGCAATTGTGGCACATTCCGCCAGGTGAGTTTCATGAAGAATTGCCAACGTCAGACTACCTGTGTGAAAGGGCCACGGCAAAAAATGTGGCAGCCAGGTAGAGAAATTAGTTTGCAGCAGCTGTTGCCGCCAGTTGCAAGCAACTTCAACGGTTAGATCGAGTGTGAAATTGTCAAGACATGCTCGAAATAGTTGTGGTTAAAAGTGTTAACTGTCAGACAGACGCTTGAATTGCGACTATATGTGGCGAAAACTGGGTAACGGTAAAGCTAAAAAATATATGTATAGATACAGCAGGAAAATAAACAAGAAAACTCTGACAAAATGTCGCCGTGCAAATGCAATTCGAATCGCATTTCAAGTGAAAACTCGACGCAGTCGCTGGCTAATTTATTGCAAATTGTTAAAACGATGACGAGGACCCAGTTGCTGCTGCTGTTCCAGCTGGAGTTGTTGCAGTCGCTGCAGTTGCTGCTACTAAGTTGAGTTTGTTGCGTGTTGTTGTTGTTGCTGTTGTTGCTGTTGTTGCTGTTGTTGCTGCTACAGCCCGCTGCGGCTGTCAGTTGCTGACAGGCACATTGGCAGTCGCCACAGTGTTTGCTGCAGGCGCTGTTATTCATATGAGCGCATGGAGAATGCCGTTTTACTGTTTGGCGCGGCATTAGAGTGGGCCAAAAACGTTTGGAATTCGAATTAGTTCGGTTTTAATGAGTTGTGAGTTTGCTTTAAGATGACTTATACATGTCCTGCATGCTGAATTTGAACTTTAAAGTAATTCATTATACTATTTTGATCTACCTTTCTCAAATCTGTTTTTTATGCTTATGTTTTATGTAGCTCATCAGCTTTGCTTAAACCGACATCAGTAAAACTATTTCACATTTCTATTGCCTCAAACTATCTTCGTCACATTGACAAAAAATTAACCAATCAGTAAGCTGCGTTTAGCAGCACTGCTCGTCATATTCTCCTATTTTACTTTGTAACACTTGCAAACAACTTTTCTTCCTTGTTAATAGTTATCCGAAATAAAGCTCAAAGCAGAAGTAGCGTCTATAGCATGACCATGCCCGCATATTAACTATTTAGACAATGGACACATTAACAGAAAATGGCAGCAGTTATACGTCGCTTATCAACACTGGGCTCCATGTTGACTTTCTTGCTTGCCTTCGCACTTCAGGCACACATTTTTTGGCTATCGAGGTTCAGTCTAATGTGGCCTGTTTGCATTTCGGCAATTTGCACAGACACGCATGTGCAGCGGCAGTGACAGTTGCTATTGCCGCCTCTGGCAGCACTGCATTGGCCAAGTTAGCAGCGAACATGGACACATTTTACAGCGCCTGACAATATCAAATTGTTATCTGGCATAAAATAATTACAACGCTTTAATGCAGACAAAATTGTTGCCGCTGCTAAAGTTTTCGCCTGCCAATTTGAGTGGCAATAAAAGCGCGTGTGCGAGATTTCAGTGCTCCAAAACGACGATAGCAATGGCAACGGTTACGGCAATGGCTATGGCAACGGCAACGTCAACGGAAACGTTGCCTAGTGGCAGTCGAAACTGCGCTAATTAACCAAAAACGCAGCCAATTAGTTTGGCTAACACCGCAACAGCAGCAAAGGGGCAGGCAGAGGAGCGCGGGGTGGGTTTATAGGCAACGAAGTGTGTGCGCTGAATGCAAACGTGTTGGCATGTGTCAAATATAAATGAAAAACTAGTTATACGACAGCGAGTAACAGTATGACAGAATTTCTGATTCGGCCAGTTAGTGTTGGGAGTGGACTTGTAAATGTGACAGTGTTGAACAAGTGCCAATAATTGTTATGTGGCATATAGAATAATTGGTTAGCTAACAATTTAATTCGTATACAAAACTGTTAAACTATATGTATTATTATGTATTATATGTATTGTTTTGCAATGTTAACTATGTATAATTGTCTAATTGTAGCACACAGCAGATATAAGATGTAAGATGTAAGATGTACTAGGAGGTCCTCTAGATTATTTGCCACGTATAGTGGAGCGCATTAAGAATGTTCGCATTGAGTAAATAGATTTTTATATTAGCTCTTAATCAATATCATATAAAAATCCTATAACTATATCATTTAGCTTCCAAACCGTTCTCTGGTCGAAAATTGTATAACATTATAGTGTACAACTGTAGGGATTTCATTCAATATTAAAGCCCTTTTTTAGATTTCCAAAACTCGTTGTTACAGAAAACAAAGACATGTAATTGTTGACTGCAACGACTTTAACAACACTGCACACAAACAGCACAGTTTGCAACACTGCTGCGTATTTGCAAATAAAATCAATTTGGCGAGCAAAGAGCTTTGCATATCAGACAATAACGATGCGGCTCAAATAAACAACAGAGTGCGTCGGCAGGATGAGGCGGGGGGCGAAGGGGGGAACAGTGCAGACTGCAAAGCTTGTTAAAATTCATGTAATGCATTAACTGAGAACAACAACCACAAATTACACAGTCCGCCTGGCTGGCGGGCCATCAGTCTGTTGCCGATGCCTGGGCTGGGACTGAGACCGAGATCGAGACCGTAGGCGGGCAGGGGCCGGGGTCCGGGGTATTTGGCCAAAACCAATGTCCAAACGGCCGACGGCCCGCAATGAAAAGGCAATTAAAGCGCAGCGGGCACAGACTCAAAACCCAGAGATGGAAGCCGGGCTGACTGGCTGACTAGTTGTTGTTGTTGTTGTTGTTGTTGCAGCAATCAATTGCATGCTTCAATGGACAAATATACGAGCATAGAGCAATAGAGAGAGAAAGAGAGAGGGAGAGAGAGAGAGAGAGGGAGAGAGTGAGAGGCAGCCAGAGCGAGTGCCACAGCTCAGATAGACATGGCTGATAGGAAGGCAAACGCTTGGACGACGACGACGTCGTCGTTGTCGTTGTTGTCCATGTCGGACTGCTGTGGACAGACGAACAGCTTCGCCTAGATGGACTCAACTAGATAAAGGCCTGGCTAGCCATCAACACACAAACACACAAACACACACACCAAAAATAAAACACTGTGCACCGCATTTGGCATGGCCCCGGCCAAGAGAAGCGAAGCTGTGCCCAAGAGTCATGCTCTCTGGTCTCCAGTCCATGGTCTCTGGTCTCTGGTCTCTCTATTGGATTGCGTTGCCGTTTGCGTCTTCATTCGCTGCATTTTGCAGTCAAGTGGAACGGCAAAAACTTGTTAACTTTTAGCTGCAAAAGGTTCGAATGGCCCAGACCCCGGCTCCGGGCCACGTTCGAGTCAATCAAGCGTCAGTCGTTATGCCGCCTGCCGCCTGCCGCCTGCCGCTTACCGCCTGCCGCTGCTGTTTGCTGTCGGGGCGTCAATTAATCAAGTGCGGACTCCGGTCGCAGTTGCAGTTGCAGTTCAAGCAACAGCAGCAGCAGCAGCAGCATCGGGCATAATCATTGCAATCAAGTCATTTACCTGCATGGCATGCACTCACATGCATGAGAGATCGTTCAATTGTCACTTGACAGCAATTAACACAAATTTCTACGACTTTTGGTTACGCCCCAAAAAAAGCAATGTTTGGCTTGAAGTTGTTGTAATGTGTGCAGCAGCAGCTTCTTAATTCGATTTATCGATTGATTATTCCATTCATATTCGATAGCTGGTTTTGAGCATACCTCTGGGTCTTTGTGGTCTTTAATTATTTACAGCCAAATTGTGTGTGCCGGACTGTGCCCAAATTAAGTTTATCTTCAGATTCATAACTTTCTACATTTCAATTTGAGTTGTGTTTGTTTCAGGCTGCCGCAACAGCAATAAATGCGGCAGCCCCGACCACAACAGCAAATATTGCAAATCTTTTCAGTTTGTCTTGGGACACGACATTCGCATGCTCTGCATTTAAAATGTGCATGAAACGGGGTATATGGAATTTAGTTTGTGTTTTGAGTATCAACTGTTAGGGATATGGGGCGTGCTTTTATAAACAGCGCTACGCAAAGGCCAACAACGGGGCCTTAACAGAGCAGACTATGTTAAGCAGCTGTTAACAAAGATATGCGTCAGTTACTTTAACAACATCTAGTTAACAGCGATAAAAACTGTACCACTTTAACATCATAGCGCTATGTTCAGAAGCTGTTATGTAAATATATAGTTTTAAATGTGCAGAGTATTTACTTAAAAAAGCTTTTAAAAGAGTTTGTATACCATGTTAAGCAACTGTCAGCGTCAATTTAACAGCATTTTTTTTACATAATTTGTTGCCTTCGCTGTGGAATTGACAACATTTGAAGTTACTTTAATAAAAATGTTAATTGCCTAACAACATCTTAGTCTTAAATTCAAGACTTAAACATTTTTATATGATCAAGACTTTGGCACTGGCTAACTCTTAGTTAAAACTGTCTCTAGAGTATTTTTGCTTCTTTCTGGCCCGTTTCCGCGCCCGTGTCTCACCTCGCTCTACTGAATCTTTTGCAACCTCAGCGCGCTGTTCAAGTGCTTTGGTCTGTTGTCCTCGGGGCCTTTTAGCTGCAGCATACTTTTGGTTTTATGTTGCAGTAAAGGGCACAAAAGCCAGAGAAGAATGAGGCACTGTAGAGCTAAAGTAACTGCCGGGCAGATACGATGCCAGGCAACAGACTTGCCACAGACCAACACACACACACACACACACACACACATACACGAACACAGGCACACATAGGCTAGATATATAATACATTCAGCTCTTGTTGCCATCTTTGCCTCGCCTGATGAAGTTAAACAATTCCCGAGCTGAAGGCACAGGCACTGGCGCAGGGGCAGCCACAGGGGCAATCGCAATGTTCATTTAGTTGCCGCGGTGGCAGCTACTAGTCAAGATTTGCATAGCCGCTCCGCGCTACCCCACTTTTGGGGCAACACAGCAAGTAATCAAAGTGCGACAAGGTTTCTTTTTTTTTTTCGGTTTTTGTTTTTTTTTGCCAACGTCACGCAAAATTTTCCACGTTAATTTATGATGGGCGTTCATAAAGCAGACTTTGCAGCTGTCTGGCCAAATGCCATTGGCAATTAATTTGGCTAAAAGGTTTGGGGCAGGGGCATTCGACGCTATTTGTAGCCTATCATAATGATATAATAAAAGTCGAACGATATCATGCTAATGCAAGAAAGAAGCATGGAACTGCTTGCCCAGCAAACGCTTATAATTCGCAAGCAGTTTTAAGCGTGAGCAGAGCTTAATGCTCTGCAGGAAAGCTGCGCATAAATCCATTAATATACCATTCCACTTAAGCTTTTTTTAATTGAAATTAATTTTCATTCATTTTGTGCGCCTCGTTTTGCACAATTTCAAGTGTCGACAGTTTTTTTTTGTTTTGTTTGGTTGGTTTTTTTGTTTTTTATTTTTGGTATTTAATTTTGCCATGCAGCATCTGGGGAAGGGCAACAATTTGTGGCAGCAGGCAACAACAGGCCCCCCTGCCCCCCTCCCGTCACGACTGTAATCGCGGCAATGAGCCAAGCCTGGCTGAGCCGTGGGCCATAATCTTTGGGGTCCCCCCTTCAGCTTTTGGGCGCATTTGCGACTCTTTCACTTTGTTGGGGTCTGTGCCTTTGGCTGTTTCTGCCTTTCTACTCTCTGCACATGGTGGAGATTTATGAACGCCGCTTGCGCTTTAAATTGAATTCAATATTTTGCCAGCGCGGCAAGCTGCAAGCCATTTTCATGTTGCACCAACAGCAACAAGAAAAACAGCAACAACAACAAATTGGCAAGCAACAACAAAGTTTTTCGTTGACAGTTGCATTTTATGGCCTGGCACATTTCATTGCTTTCCTTCTTTCTTTTATTTTTTCGTACTCGCGTGCGCTTTCTGGCTGAAAATTGATTTTCCTTTTACCTCTTTGCCAACTGCAGCTGTGTGTGTGTGTGTGTGTGTGTGTGTGTGTGTGGGAGTGGTTGTGGGTGTAGAAAAGGTGTGAAAGGCGGCGTCGAGTGGCCACTGGGAAGCAGACAATTGAGTTGTCTTTTCTTTTTCCGCCTTAACCCGTTGTCGTTGTCAAAGTGCCATAAAAATATACGTACCTGCAAAGAGAGTAGAGAAAATATAAAGATTTAGTTTTGTCTGATAATGTCGCTGCCAGATTTAACAATTTAATGCGCTAATAAAATGTGTACAATGAAAAATGCATTGACTATTTAATAAATATTCAAGTATAATCAATTTACATTAGGCAACAGATTTAAAGTGCAAAGGCTGGAGAAAATATGTTTACTTAAACAGAAAATAAATAAGCATCAAATCGATCTGAGGCACAAATTCTGAACGAAAAGATATATCTTAGAGAAAGTTGTACTTGAGTAATAAGAGTCTGAAGTTTGGTTAAGCCCGGAAAGAGCTTTGATCGAGTTATGTTAGTTAAACGGAAATGCTTAAATTTTGCATGCAAAGTTTATGTAGACGCAAAAATATATCATAAAGCATAAAAGCGCATAGAGTTTTGATTGGTTTAAATTAGAGAAAAAATAATGTAAACTCGCATGAAAATCAATAGAGTTTTGATCAAGTTTCGTTATCAGACCCTAGACAGAGCATAAAAGACGGATCTTGGTAACATTTCTGTTCAAATTCCGTTTTGTATGGCAATTGCTGGCAAACAAAATGAATTACACGTATTTTAATCTTTGGGCTAAGACAAATTAGTGAAGTTCGCTTTGTTTCGCATAGTTTGGCAATTGAACTTCATGTGCTGCAATTGTTGCTGCTGCCATTGTTAAAGTTGCTGTTGTTGTTGTTGTTGTTGCTGTTGTTGCTGTAGCTGTTGCTCTTGTTGCCGTTGCCGCTGGGCGCAATCATCATTACAAAGTGCTGAGGTGCAGCGCTCTGGTGGCTGTCAAGATAAGCTCGGTTGTTGCCTTTGTTGTTGTCGTTGTCGTTTTCGTTGTTGTTGCAACCAGGTAGAGTCAGGCAGTTAACCAGCTCAGTTGAGTTCAGTTGAGTCAAGACTCGTCAAGTCAGGCGAAAGGTGTGCAACACTGAGTGCTAACCCCTCCGCACAGCACTTGGCCACCGCCTGCCCCAATGTCTGCGATGTGGAGTGCCAACAACAACAACAACAACAACGACAATGACGCCCCACTGAAAACTGAAAATGTTTTCGTTTGAGTGCACAAAACGCCGACGTGCTGCTGATATTGTTGTTGGCGCTGTTGATGTTGTTGCTGTTGCTGTTGTTGTTGTTGTTGTTGTCGCCTCGCCTTGCCAGCGGGCGCTACATTGGCGATTTTTGTTGTTGTGTTGCCATACAATTTTTGCTTTTGTTTTGTTTCGTTTTTATTTTTTATTTATTTTTTTTTTTTTTTTTTGTTCAACTCCCGCTGCCTCTCGCATTCGCCCGTCAATTCAATTTGAAGCCATTTAGCATCAATTTGCAGTAATTTGACGTATAAATTATGTCAAATTGCCGAGCAGCTTGTCATTGGGTGTATTCTGTAGACAGTTGTTGTTGTTGTTGTTGTTGCTGTTGTTGCTGTTGTTGTTGCTGTTCTCACTCACTCACTTAATGCTCGTTGCTGTTGCTGTTGTTGCTTTGACTGTCGCTGCTGCCGCCTTTGCACCTTTTTTTCAATGACCGCTCGCACAGATTGGCTCAGGTAGAGAGCGAGACGCTGGATGCGAGAGCGAAGAGCGCGGCATTATCACATCGCACGCGGAGGTTCCAGCTCAATTCCAGTCGGATCCATTGTGTTGCGATGAGGTATATTTTGTCTGCTCTGCTGCTGCTCTTCTTCTTGTTTCTTTATATCGGACACGTTTCGCACTGTGTGAATTTTATTTTCGCTTGTCGACACAAAAGAATTTCACTTAACACACACACACACACACGCACACATGAGCAGGGGCAGGCAGACACGACGACACATTGATGCCGAAAAAAGGGTCCAAAGACCCGTACAACAACAACAACAAAAACAACAACAACAACCACAACAGCAAGACAGACCCGAGAGTCCGACACTAAAAGTGCCCATAAAAAAGGCCCGATATAACGAGGGGGAAAATGAAGCCTGGCAGGGCCAGGGGTAGCGGCAGCAATCTTTACGCTTTTGTGAATGTTAACATTCAAAGATATCATCGAAAAATTCACTGGAAATGTGCCTCAGTACACACACAATACAAGACAATAATGAAAGGCAGGGCCCAGAAGAGAGCGTGAGGTAAAGAGAGGACCAAGATCAACGTGCATGAGACTGCGTGTGTACGTGTGTGTTTGTGTGTGTGTGTGTGTGTGTATGCTTGCTCCCCTCCAGTTTGGGCTTAATGCTGCTGCTCTTCCCCCTCTCAGTGGATTTTGTCGCCTCTTTTGTGCGGATGAGTTGCCGTTCACGCGTCGTAAACTCGGTAGCCGCTTCCAAACGGCAACAAAAGACAATGGGCAAGAAGTAGAGGGGAAGAGGAAGAACAATAACAGTGAGTCAAAATTTCCGCATGCGCCGCCTGCATGTGTATGCGTGTGTATGTGTGTGTGTGTGTGGCTGAGTGTGTGCTTGTGCGTGGGGGAGCAGAAAGGAAACATGTCATCATCATGCCCGCCTCTCTGCCCACTGCCCACTGTCCACTGTTCGTGCACTGGCGCTCTCTCTCGCACTCGTGCGCCCCCCCCCGCCTGGCTGGAATCCGAACTATTTGAAGAATTTTCATTTGCATTTTAATTAAGTGAATGGCACGCTAAGGGTGAGCACTCTGTGGGTGGGGTGGGCGAGCCGGAGGAGGCTCACTCGAGCAGCAAAACTTTATTATCTGTACAAGCAATTATGCATATCATAAAACACTTTAAACATTAATGAGCCTGAGCAACGCCAGGCCAGGCCAGGCCAGGCCAGGCTAGGCCGGGCTGGGCCAAGAGACCAAGTCCCAAGCCCAGTTAGCCCAGCTCACGGCTCGCAGCTCGTTTATTCATTCATCCACTTTAAGGCGCACACAGAGAGAGAGAGAGAGAGAGAGGCGACGTAAGAGACGACGGCACCCAACGCCCCCAACTGTTTCGGTTAGTTATGGCAAAAGTCAGCGTGTTGCCACTTTATTGCCTGCTTTACATTTCTGTTAGTTTAGTCCGCGCCCGGCGGCAACAAACTGCTGTGTGCAACTGTGACTAAGTGTGTACGTGAGTGTGTGTGTGTGTGTGTGTGTGTGTGTGTGTGTGTGTGTGTGTGTGTGTGTGTGTGTGTGTGTGTGTGTGTGTGTGTGTGTTTGTCTGTGCCGCTGAATAAAATCGTGTTATGTTTTGCGGCTAAATTAAAATTCGACTTAATCGTTTAAACATTTAAGAGGCGAGGCAAGCCAAAAGCAAAAGGCAACAGCAGCCGCCACAACAAAAACAACAACAGCGTCGTACGAGCTACTCCACGGCACGTTGTTGTTGCTTTTTGTTTTTTGTTGTATTTTCTTCTTCATTTTCTGCATGCGCAGCGCAGTCGCAGTCACAGACTGCCGCAGCCAGCGAACAGCAGCAGCAGCAGCAGCAGCATATTGCTGTCTCGCTCGCACGCGCCGTGAGCGCCATAAACAAACATGGCTGCTCCTGCTGCTGCTGTCGCTCGCTCTCTGTAGGCAAGTGCAGTGTTTTAAAGAGCGGAGTGTGGAGTGTGGAGAGTTTGGCGTTTTCAAGTGTGGGCAACACAGCGAACGGAAGAGTGCGGCGCGTTTTCACTTTGCGACTTGTTGTTGTTGCCTGGCAATATTTAGCCTCGAGGGCCCCACAATTCAAATGTTAATTAAAAATTAAAATGCTTGAACTGTGCAAATTGTGGCACAGAAGCTGCGGCAACAAACACAATGATTTATCTGCCGCCTGTCAACGTCGACGTTTGTCATTTTAATAAAATGTAAATTATTGCATTTACTTGTTGTCATTTCAATTTTTTGGCTGGCTTGTGTGCTAGCGTATTAATAAATTAATTGCCCGCCGCGCTGACAGCTTCACTAGCAATATTTGCAAATTAACAATACAATAAAAAATAAAAATAAAATAGAAACAGAAGAAACTCAGCTTTACGCACGTGTTGAAAATATAAATTTATGAAGTTACAAATTATTTGCGCCTGGCTTAAACGTGCGCCCCAAGCCAATGCAATTGGCCATAAAGTAAAGGCAATATGAACATGTGCTTCGTATATGGCCAATAAAAGTAGCAGCAACAACAACTTGTTTCCATTTCAATTAACTGCTGCAGCGGCTTTGGCCATAAACACAAAAAAAAAACACACACACAAACACAGGAATATAAAACACATTTTGCACAAAGTAGCTATGAAAAATGCCTTTACACAGATTTATTGTGGATTACGAACGTTAGGCATATTTGGTCAATGGGCGTGTTGCCAACAATTGCAAAAAAAAAAAAAAATGTTTTGTGACGCACAAATTTGACGCAAACTTTTGCTCTCTTAATTTACAATTGGCTTTGGGCGCACAACGTAACGGGACTACATTTGCAGCCATTATGGAAATTTTATATAAAACGGAAACAAAGAGCGGCCATAACGGAAACAGCAAACAGTGTTGTGCAGCAGTTTAAAAAGTATTTGCTGAGGCAACAAACGAAGATGGGCATTAATGATTGGACGCTGCACAGTTGAATTCTGACAGCAGGCAAAAATGTTATCGGTTAAAGCATTTCACCCATAAGCTTTACAACACTGGCAAACACTTATGTGCTTATCGCACCTCGCGCTTTTCACTACAAATTTAAGCTTTTTACAAGCATTGAAATGCATGTTCAACAACAATAAGTTGTTGCCAATGCCGCCGCACACATTTCTTGCATTTCTTTATTTTTCAAGGAGAGCGCAGTGAGGCATGCAAAATTCAGCAGCTAATGCGCTGGGCGTGTCAAGTTGGCCCTGGGCAAGAGGGGGATTGCGGGTCACAGCAAACAAACAACTTGACAACGCTTTTGTGTGTGTGTATTGTTTCGTTTTCGTTTTCGATTTAGTTATTATTTAAGCAGCAACATTTTTGTAATGCATAATTTGCAAATCGTTTAACGCGACTTTGACATGCAACATTTGTGTTTGAGGTTAAAAGCCACAAAAGAAAAACCAAAAACAAAAGTCAAGAAAAACCAATCGAAAGCAAACGTATAAAAGAATTCCAATTGAGGAGCTCAACATGCGAGGCAATAACAGCAACAACAGCAACCGCAGCAACAGCAACAGCAGCGAAATGTTGCTGATAGCAATCAACATCAATTAAAACAGCTGTCTGTCTCGCTCGATTGTTGTTGTTGTTGTAGTGGTTGTTGTTGTTGCTATTGTAGACGTGTGTAATTATATTTGCTGTTGCGCCTTGGCCATTATAATCAACGTCATCATCATCATTATAATTATCATCATTGCCAACTAAGCACTGAAGCATTGCAATTGTAGCTGCTGCTGCTGCCAGCAACATGTTGCTGCTGTCAGCTGTGTGTGTGTGTGTGTGTGTGTGTGTGTGTGTGTGTTGCTGCTTGCTTTGGTCGCCTGATGGCAACTGCTGATAATTATAATCCGCTTGTGGTTAAAATGGTGTTGCCTACCTTACTGGCGATAAGCTCGTATGAATAATTATGTTGCCAGTTGGCAAGTTGCTGCCGTTGTTGTTGTTGTTGTTGTTGTTGCTGCTGCTGTGGCTGTTGCCATTGCTGCTGCGGTGGCTGCTGCCTGTCACTGCTGCTGGCCAAAGCGCGACAACTCATGAATAATTAATGCACTGCCTGCTGCTGCTGCTGTTGCTGTTGGTGCGGCTGTAGTTGTTGTTGCTGCTGCCGGTGCTGTCGCTGCACGGCAGCAACTTGTTCTTGCTGGCTGGTTGGCTCGTTGAAATATATTTTCAATTATAGCAGGAAATCGTGAATTATACTAGCTTCAAGCATTTTTGCGCCTCAGTTGCTGTTGTTGCAGTTGTTAAGTTGTTGGCTATTATTGTGGCATTCAATGTTGTTGCTGCCGTTCTTATTGTGGTTGTTGCTACTTTATTCTGATTAAACTTGACACAGTGCCTTGTCAGCGTCGCATCACGCAAATATTTAATAAATACATAAGCGACATCAACAAAAACGTTGGTCAACGCCTCTTTGAAGCTGCCGACAATAATTAACACTTGAATAGCAGCAACAGCAACAGCAATACAAAAGAGCACATCAGCAACAACTATTTATTATCAACTTAATTTGCATGAAATGCACACACACACGCACAGCAACACAGCCAAAACACATTGAAATTCCCAGCTTAAATTAAATAAGCATTTAGTTTGACTAAACGACAAAGGGAGGGTAGGAAAAA